CCGGAAGTTCCAGAAGGCCGGAAATGGGCCAGTTTCCAGCTTCCAGAGAGCCTCCATAGCCCAGGCAGGTCGTTTTTGCCCTCCTGGAGGCTCGAGGAAAGCCTCTGGAGCCCGGGGGGAGGCAAAAACAACACACACACCCGCCATGGTGCAGGAGGCCGACTAGGCCACGCCCACCCTGGTCACGCCCACCCAAGCAGAGAACCCTTTGCTAAAATTTTTGAAGCTCACCCCTGGTCATAAATCATTTTTTTTTTCAATCCTGTTGTAACTTTGATCATTAAACAAACTGTTGTAAGTCGAGGATTACCTGCACCTTGTAGGATGAAGCCAAAGATCTACGGACATGTCAAATCTCTCTTAATTTCTATGCAAGGGTATTTTCTAGGATTCAATAAACACCCTAAGACAAAAGGTTGGTTGCTCATTGTAAGCCACGAACAATAAATGAACAAATAGATTAGCTTGTTCTGTGGAATTAGTATTGAAGAACTCCAGTGCAATAGATCTGCTGCTAGGGGAAAAAGTCCAACTGCATGCTGAACTCTGCATTAAGCCCTGACTAAGGATAACCACGTATCTCAAGGACCGCATGTGATAATCACAGTATAAAACGTGGATTTCCTCAGGCTTGGATCCTCCTATCTGGCACAGTCATTTCCACTATCAATTCTCTATCGGCATAATTGGAGTGTTTGTCAAACTTAAGTCACAGTTTGTTGGCAAGCCCATCATTAGTTAATCGTAGCCATATTTTGCTGGCTTTGAAAAGTATAGCCATTAATCAGAACTGAGCAGTTAATCAAATCCAGGGTTTCTGTGCTGGATGTGCTGGAGGAGTGAGGAAGACAGAGACATCTGACTATCAAAATAGTCAACACACAAATACACAACCAAAGCCACAATTGATGGAGGCCTTTTCAATTCTTTTTGCTGTCGTTCTTGTAAATTTTTCTAATTGGGTTTAACATCCCTATGGAGGCTTTATTTTTTGTTTATATCGTCCTGCAGAGTGAGCTACTGAGAACGATTGGATTGTGGCAGGGGCAGAAATGGAATGCAGATAATTCATTTAGTGACTGTTCAAAGTTACAATGGCACTGAAAAAAGTGACCTATGACCATTTTTCATACTTATGACCATTGCAACCATCCCTATGGTCACCTGACCAAAATTTGGATGCTTGACAACTGGCATGATGGTTGAAATGTCCCGGGATCATGCGATCACCTTTGGCGATCTTCTGACAAGCAAAGTCAATGGGGAAGCCAGATTCACATGACAACCGTGTTACTAACTTAACAGCTGCCATTATTCACTTAACCAATGTGGCAAGAAAGGTCGTAAAATGGAACTATCTCACTTAGCAACAGAAATTTTGGACTCAATTGTAGTTGAGGACCACCTGTACATATACATGCATACATACATAACATACATACTGTACTTACCTCAAGAAAAATTATAATTTCACACAACCATAAAATTATGGATATTGAGGCTGGGAGGAAATGGTTCTGTATTATAAAACAGCCTTCCAGAGAGTCCAGATTAATCCTGACTACATGTACAGTATATGTGTGTGATTGTGTGTGTGTCCATAGATTGGAAAATCCCAGTATTTTAGCTTCTGCTTTCCTGTACTGCTTTCCTGTTTTGTGTTGTGTTCTTCTTTCTTTTTTAAAAAAATTTTCTCTTTTCATTGTCTTTTTTTCCTCTCTTTTTTATTCTTTTTTTTCCCTCTATTTCTACCAGCAATTGACTTCTGAAGGAATTCCCCACAGTGAAGAGGTGTATGTTGGCAAAGACAAAGAGACAGAGGAAGTGCCCAGTAGTTATCAGAAGGAAGAACAGGAAGGAATTCAAGAGCAACAGAAATCACAATGTACCAATTTGCTTGATTTTAGATGGGTAGGTGACAGCTCTTTCTCGAGGGGGGAGGGGTGCTTAAGTGTCCAGCAGAAGCTATGACAACACAGACATCATAAATCATAATACCGTCATGCAAAGTACCCTCTTGTATAATGTAAACAAATGTTGTCATGATATGCATGATGTCACTTGACCCTTGAGAATGTCTAAGAGTGGTAGGAGTCAAAAAAAGTCAAGATAGAGACCGTGATGGCACAGGGTCTCATCCTGTTTTTACATGCACATTACGTTAAATCCAAACAAGCTACGTTATACTGTAGTTTAAGGTAAAAAAAAAAAAACCCCAACAATCTAGTTATTTTATGATTAGGTTCCACAGGTCAATTAAGCATTGAATGAAGATTCCATATTTGGGACACTCTTCATTTCAGTATGAGGCTTGGACAGCTTTAGAAAGAGTTTAAAAACATGGCTTTCTTATTTTACCGAGAGCTACTAGTCATGACAGCTAAAGCTGGCTTCCAAGGTCAAAAGATGCTATCTTAGGTCTAATTAGAAGAGAACCGCTTCATTCAAGCTTGGTTTTTGAGGCTTCCCTTTGATCAACTGATTACCTATTATCAGAATCAAATGAAAGCGAATGCTAACATGGACTTTTCCATCAGATAAAGCATGCCCGGAGGTTATCTTGTGAGAACAAAAGTAGATTGTTGTGTGTGAGAACAGTCTCTTGAAATTAGTAAATGCTGAGAGTCATAGAATACAGGAAAGAGGTGGCTATTTTTCCCTGCCTAGCTGAGCTCAGGAGCACCTGAATAGCTCAGGTTGGAAGTGAGAAAATAGAGTAGGTGGATCTTTGACCTGATTTGGTGGGGTTGTTCCCAAGGTTAGGATCATAAGACCTCTTGGTGGTATCTTAACCACTTCTGCTCCTGAATGTTCTCCACACAGATAGTTCTCGACTTACGACCCTGACTGAGCCCAGAATTTATGTTGCTAAGTGAGAAATGTGTTAAGTGAGTTTTGCCCCATTTGACGACTTCCCTGGCCACCTTTGTTAAGTGAATCACTGCAGTTGTTATATTAGTAACACGGTGGTTAAGTGAACCTGGATTCCCCGTTGAGTCGCAAGAGGGGATCCCACGACCCTGGGACACTGCAACCGTCATAAAGACAAGTCAGTTGTCAGGCATCCAGATGTACATCATGTGACCATGGGGAGGCTAGAATGGTCCTAAGTGTGAAAAAACGGTCATGAGTCCCTTTTTTTCAGTGCCGTTGTAACTTTGAACGGTCACTAAATGAACTGTTGTAAGTGAAGGGCCACCTGTGTAGTATGTATGGATGTATGGATGTATGTATGTATATATATATATATATATATATATAAAGTATTGTCTGTCCTGCAGCTTCAGGAGAAGGAGGAGGAAGAGGCAGCTCACCAGGATGACTCTAGTAGCGTGCTGGAGGACCTTAGCAGCCAAGGGTTATTTGCAAAACATTCAGCATGTGATGTTCAGGAAGGGCTTTGGCCTCCACCTGGGGACAACACTGAAGAACATCTGGAGACCAGAGTGAATGAGGTAAGAAATGTATCCCTGTGGACTTCTCAGCTACAAGATGTAGCAGTGCAGAGGTGGGTATTCAGCAGGTTCTGACCAATTCTGGAGAACCAGTCGCGGAAATTTTGAGTAGTTCGGAGAACCAGCAAATCCCACCTCTGACTGCCCCCCCCGCCCCCATCTATTCTCCCAATGAGTCCCAGCTGATCGGCTGGGTCTTCTTTGGTTGCCTTGCACAGGAGAACAGAGGTGGATAGCAGGTTAGTGGTGGGGAGAAGGAATGGGGATTTTACAATAACCTTCCCTCGGAGCGGGGTGGGATTGGAGATTTTACAATATCCTTCTCCTCCCACGCCCACCAAGCCAAGCCACACCCACCAAGCCACACCCACAGAACCAGTTATAAAAAATTTAGAATCCTACCACTGTATCCGTGGTTACTAATATGAACACACGAGGAAACAATGCTGGCTGGGGATTTCTGGGAGCTGAAAATCACAGGTCTTAAAGGTTGCCAAGGTTGGACATCCCTGATCCAGGCATTATGTACAAGTGTTGCACGTAATAGGAGGGATCAAGTTCCCACTAAAACAGAATCCCCTAACCCAGGGATGGGTTTCTACCGGTTCTGTCCACCTCTGTAGAACCGGTAGCTCTGAAGAGCAGCAGACATAGAACCGGTTCTATGTCTGCTGATGTGTTTGCCCACCCGCCCACCCGGGCTCTTACCTGACCTTTATTTCCTGATTTTTCAACTTCAGCTGCTGAACGAGGCACAGCTGCAGTTTAAAAAGCATGAAAAGAGGGCTGTTTCAAAGGCTGCGTCTCTGCATGCAGCAGGCTGATGACGATTTACAGGCACGTGTCTCACAGCGTGCAGGGAAGCTCATAAATCCCGAACAGGTAGTTAACCCTGTCGTATCCCACCCCTGCCCTGACCTTTCTTATGGAAGGAGGGGGGAGAGGTGATGGTTGCAGGTGAGCAGCCAGCAAGCGCACACCTGCCCTCCACTCACACAAATGGAGCACCTGTGCACATGCTTGCTTGCTGCTTGCACAAGTGGTGATGCCCGTGTGGGTTCGCCTGTTGCCACGACTCGGTTGCAAACACCTAGAGCAGTGTTGTAAGTTTTGGCACTGAGTGCCCAAAGTGTACATGCAGATGCATGCACATACCCCAAATGCAACACACACACCTGTGCATGCACCCCACCATGCATGCGCCCACACTTACACATGCTCTCGCTTGTGCACGCCTCCTGCGCATGCCCCCTGCGTATGCACGGCAGAGACCTGAAGACCAGGTGGCTGGCAGGAGGGACGCACTCATTAGTGGCGGAGCAGAGCTGGGAGAACGGTGCCTGGGTCCACAGAGAAGGCTCTGTGTGCCACCTGTGGCACGTGTACCATAGGTTTGCCACCACTGCAAGAAAAAGGTGAAATCCATGGCCAAGGGTAGTCTTCAATTTACAACCGACATTTGAGTCCAGAATTTCTGTTGTGACATTTGTTAAACGAGCTTTGCCCGGTTTTACGATTGTCCTTGCCACAGTTAAGTGAATCGCCATGGTTGATGAATTTGTAACCCGGTTGTTAAATGAATCCGGCTGGGGAATTCTGGGAGTTGAAGTCCACTAGGCTTAAAGTTGCCGAAGTTGGAGACCCCTGTCCTAGGGTGCTCTGTGCAGTCTCAAAAGGCGGCCCACTTAGAATTGTGAAAGTCGCCACACCCATCCCCCCCATCCATTCTGCAGTTTTGTCTCAAAATTAGCTTACTTCAAGACAGGAGAAATGATGCAGGTAGACCTCAAGTTGCAACTGTTCATTTAGTGACCATTCAAAGTTACCATGGCACTGTAAAACGTTACTTACAACCTCGATCCTGTTCAGACATGTAGACCTATTCAAATCAAAGGACAAATCATGATTAAATTAAATTAGATTAGATCGGATTAACAGCGTTAGAAGGGACCTTGTAGGCAGGGGTGAGATTTAAAAATCCAAGAAACCGTTTCGCTGCCTGGTTGCTGGGTGGGTATGGCCATGGTGGGCGGGGCCTACCGGAACTTCCAGGAGGGCCGTTTTTTGCCCTCCCAAGGGTCCGGAGGCTTCCCCTGGGCCTCTGGGAGGGCGAAAATCTGGGCTCCAGAGGCCCTCCAGAAGCCGGAAACAGACCCATTTCTGGACTTCCGGAAGGCCTCCCCCCCCCCCCATCCCCTGCGCCGGCCCCGGCCTTTCCCGGCTGGGAAAGGGGGCCGGGGGGGGCCTTGGGGGGGGGGGGGGAGGGGGGGGGCCAGCCAGTTGGTTGAAATACTGGTTCGGTAAACCAGATGAAAACTTAACATCCGCTTCACCCGAACCAGTCTGAACTGGTAGAATCCCACCCCTGCTTGTAGGTCGTCTAGTCCAACCCTCCACCCAAGCAGGAGACCCTACACCATTTCTGACAAATGGCCGTCCAATCTCTTCTTGAAAGCCTCCAGTGATGAGGCTCCCACAACTTCCTATGTCGACAATTTCATAACCATTTCCAATTCAGTTGACCTACCCAAAGCCAGACGAAGTTATAATGGTCTGATTCAAATCATATGTATTTAAAACGAAGTGTCTTTCTTCCAGGTATCTTTGATAGATAGTTTTGAATCCGATGGAAAACTCCTGACAAACTCCAACCTTTCCAAGACCAGCTGCCTGGACAGCAGTTCCGTGGACCATGAGGGCTACTACCTGTGTGATGAGGAAGCCCTTTTAAAGGAATCCAGTGCTTCCACTGGCTATTATCCCTGCTATCGAACGTACGTGGAGTTCCCCCGGTACCAGCCTTCCAACACGAGTGACCCCAGGGAGGAAAAAGGAAGTCCCTGCGATGCCAGTGTCCAGTGTGATGGCTATCTGGAGGAAGAAGCTATCGGCAAAGAGAAAAGAGAAGTGGAAGTTAATAATAATTTTAAGGTATCAGTGGCCGCCCAGGATTCTCCCCGTGGTCAACCAACTGCGGGCTCCCGGCCTGGATCTGGTGGGAGAAAGCTGGAAGGACCTGGATGGAGGCGTTTGAGGCCATCCAGCAGTGACCAAGAGTCAGGTAGCGCTCGGAAGGAACCAGAGGCAACTCTGAAGCCCCGCACCCCAGGGAGCTCCCCATACAAGTCGAGTGCAAGGCTCAAAACCTCCAAAGAGCCACCAGCCCCAGTACCACGGAACAACCTCCTGCTGCCCACAGCCAACCTCAGCAGGAAGTCTCCCCAGAAACGGAAGCACAGAAGCAGCCAAGCAGATGAGAAGGAGCAGGCCACCGTGATGGAACTAAAGCCTCTGCTCCAGGACCAGCGCTCACTGCCCCCGAGTCCGGAGGCCAAGGCAGGATCTCCAGGGATCCGCTGCTATCGCTCAGAGCAAGCAGGGGAGAATAGCCAGGTGTGTATCAACCCCAAGAAGCCCGACGTAGAGATTCTGGAAGGGATCTAATAGTTTTAGTATATGCTTGGCGTTTGACAGATTAACAGAGTTGGAAGGGACCATGTAGGTCATCTAGTCCAACCCCCCCTCCCCAAAGCAGGAGACCCTACACCATTTTTGACAGATGGCAGTCCAATCTCTTCTGGAAGCCTTCCAGTGATGAAGCTCCCACAACTTCCGAAGGCAAGCTTGGTTGTTCCATGGGTTGATTGTTCTCACTGTCAGAAAATGTATCCTTATTTTCAGGTTTAATCTCTCTTTGTTCAGTTTCCATCCATTATTCCTTGTCTGGTGTTGGAAAATAGCTGGACCCCTTCCTCTCAGTGGCAGACCCTTAAATATTGGAAGACTGCTATCCTGTCTCCCCTGGTCCTTCTCTTCCCTAGACTAGCCAGGCCCAGTTCCTGTAACCGTTCTTCATATGTCATAGTCTCCAGTCCCCTCATCATCCTGGTTGCTCTTCTCTGCCCTTTTTCTAGAGTCTCAACATCCTTTTTTATAGTGTGGTGACCAAAACTGAATCCAGGTGTGGTCTTACTAAGGCTTTACAGAGTGGTATTAGTACCTCAATTGATTTGTTTTAGAAACTCATGCAGGTAGTCCTTGACTTACAGTTAGTCCCTTGGGAACCATTTGAAGTTATGGCAAACTTCCTCAGGTCTAATTATGACCCGGATCTGAAATTCTGATGGCCAGGCACTTCCTGCAGTCATGTAATTGCACTTTGGATGCTTGGCACCTGGCCCTCATTAAAGCGGACTGCAGTATCCCTCAGGAACGTGAGTACAATTTAGCAATAGTACTTAGACTTAGATACCACTTCACAGTGCTTTTATATCCCTCTCTAAGCGGTTTACAGAGTCAGCATATTGCCCCAACAATTTTACCCACCTCAGAAGGATGGAAGGCTGAGTCAACCTTGAGCCAGTGAGATTCGAACTGCCAAATTGCAGGCAGCCAGCAGTCAGCAGAAGTAGCCTGCAGCACTGCACTCTATCCACTGCGCCACCCTGGCTCAGTTTACAATGTTGTCTGCAGGAAACCAGCGTTTAATTCTGGTTTCCAGCAAAAATTGTGGACAATGGATTTGTATAACAACCATGGCATTCACTTTACAATTGCCATGTTCACTTAATGACCACTGCAAAAAAAAAAAAAGGATTGTGAAATCAGGTGTGCTCATGTGGTGATCTGCTTAACAACCAGCACAATTTAAGGCCCATAATTCCAGGCTGCTTCTTGTGGGGAAAATCTGTCTTCCATCACAACTCTTTTTATGCCACCAGGCTCAAAAAATCCTCCCGAGTTATGTTTCTTTCTAAAGACAGTAACTTTGGGAACAAATTCTTTCTGAAAAATTATGTTTACCAAGTTCTTCTCCAAACATAGCTGAGTTATGTTTTGATAGGTGGGATCCACACAGTGATTTCAGGCAAAGTTCAAAAGGCAAAAGGAGACACGATGAAGCAATAATGCAAAACTGGCAAAGGTCAGGATTGCTCATGTTTTGCTGGAGGGTTTAGGAGTAACATTAAGTCTGCCTTAACCATTGTTTTCATTCATGCCTTGCCTCAAAATACTTGCTGCAATGTTCAGCTGTCCGAGAATAGCATACGGCTCTTAATTTGCTAAACCATTTCCATTTGTAACAACACTCTTGTTGGAGAAGAAAACGCTATAGGAAGCACTAAACATGAAATATTACAGAATAATTATATTGCAACGTGTTAGGAGCTGACCGCTGTGCCAGCAAGTGATGTGAACCAGCCCATCAGGTTAAACCATGATAAGGTTTATTTGGGTGGGGGATAGAGCATGTTGTGTTAACACTGCAAGTATATTTTTTTGAAATTTAGTTTTGAATCTAGTATAGTATTTCTCATTGTTGGGAACTCCCAGAATTCCCAAGCCATCAGGGCTGACTGGATCAGTTGAGAAACTTTCTATTGCTGTTTCTAGACCCAGAGCGTCCAATTAATAATAATGATGTTATCCATTCAGTCGTGTTCAATTCTAGAAAGGAATGATGAAGCTAGTTCAGGGGTGGGCAACTATGGCCCTTTTATGAATTATGGACTTCAACTCCCCGAATTCCTGAGCAAGCCATGCTAGCTCAGGAATTTTGGGAGTTGAAGTCCACAAGTCATAAAGGGGCCATAGTTGACCACCTCTGAGCTAGTTGGATGTACTTCTAGATCCAGAACATCCAACTAGCTTCACAGTTCCTTCAAGGGGTTGCCCTTTTCCAGAATTCCTTGAGCAGAAAGTTGGAAGGAGGTTTCAGTGGAGAGATGTTAGCAAGATAGTCTTTGGATTTGAAGCAAAAACAAAAAACCACTGCTGTGTAGTTCATCCATGAACACAGAAGTAGCTGTGGAAGTGCAGAGTCTAACACTGGAAGGCCATTGTTAAAATAGCAGTGACCGTCATTCTGTGATGCCGCTCATAATTTTCCATCAGTTTTGGGTGGCATCTGTCTTCCAAGTTGATGTAGGCTTCCTAACATACTGTAGGTCTCACCAGTGGGGTCTGTCAGCGGATGAAGCTTCTAGTTTCCCTGACTGGGTAACATAGTAATGTAGTTTCCTCCAAAGCAGTGGGGGATTCAAAATTTTTTACTACCGTTTCTGTGGGTGTGGCTTGGTGGGCATGTCAGGGGAAGGATATACTGTAAAATCCCCATTCCCTCCCCACCCCACTAACCTGCTTTCCAGCTCTGTTCTCCTGTGCAGGGCAACCACAGAAGACCCAGCCGATCAGCTGGGACTCCGGAGGCAGAGAATAGATGGGGGCGGGGCCAGTCAGAGGTGGGATTGGCCAGTTCTCCGAACTACTCAAAATTTCCACTACCGGTTCTCCAGATCCGGTCAGAGCCTGCTGAATATCACCTCTGATCTTGAGGTCTTTTTCTTGTGTCCACCACAAGAACAATTTGTGAGGCAGCCATCCATTCTGATGATGTGTCCCCCCATTTAATCTGGGCTCAATGCTGGCGGACACCACACAGTCCAGGCTGGCGACACGGTCTTACCAAGAAATGCCAAAGGTGGAGCAGAAGACAGATTTGTGATGTTGAAAAGTGGCTTTTTCCCTGTCTTGCAGGTCCAACCGACAAAAGAAAAAAAAATCCCCAGCCCTCAGCAGATGCCTTCTGCTGTGGCCTCCACCCTAGCAGCTGAGTCCCCCCCCAGTTGCGCAAAGCCCCACGCTGCCTCCTCCCGTCTCAGCTTCCACACCATCGTCTCCTGGGTCTGGAAGATCTTCAAGAAACCATCCTCGGCGCAGCCACGGCCTAGTACCAGCGGTGAAACGGAAATAGGAGGCAGCAGGGAGTCACTAGCCTCTCGGCTAAGACTGTGGCTCACGCAACGCAGCAGCCGCATTCACCCCAGGCCGCCGTGATATTGGCCACCCATCCTCTGGGGAAGAGTCAGCAGACAGTTCCTTGGGGAATGTGAAATATTTTTCAGAAACTGATGGTTTCCATTAAAACTTCTGCTTTCCTCTTTTGTGCCAGAAAGAGAGAGGGAGAGTGGAAAAAAAGAAAGAGTGGAATATATTGGCTGTCATTGTGAAGGCACTGAAGGTTGGATGTTGGGTGGGGCAAGCTGGCTACTTAATTGTTATGTTGCCCTAGAAGTCAAATAGGCTATATAGCAATCTCAAAGGTGCTTTTTCAAAAGGCAACTGAATTATTTATTTTTTTCAAGATGCTTCATCGGAAGCTCATTTAGAGCTTCCTCGAGGAAGAAAAATAGTCCAGTTGCCTTTTGAAAAAGCACCTTTGAGACAACTATGGTCTGGATCAGGGGTCACCAACCTTTTGGACCTCAGGAACCACCAAAGTCATAATTTTAAATCCCGTGGGCCAAAGACCCTGGGAAAATCCCCTAAAAAGTCTGCAGGAAAATTCCTCACCCCGTTTTCCTACCGATCGATCATTCTTTATTTGGGATCGCAGGATCCCGTCTCCAGCTCCGTTCTTGGGGGGGAAAGAGAGAGAGAGAGAGAGAGACTTTTGGCTTCATGCAAGGAAAGCAGCAGAAGCAGCAGAAGTCTTTCTTTCTCTCCCCCAAACTCCGCCAGAAATGAGTCTTTGCTGGCACAGCCTCTTGGAGCAGGATGCCTTGCAGGGTCCCAAAGAGTCATTTCTGGTAGAGTTTGGGGGAGAGAAAGACTTTTGCTGCTTTCCTTGTGTGCAGCCAAAAGCAGAAGAAGAAAGAAATGGAAAGAAGCAGCCTGGTGGCCAGTCCAGGCGCATGGAGCGCTTGGGGCACGTTCCCTCCCCTCCACCCTTTCCCCCCTCCCCTCACTACCTCATGTTGTTCGCAATACAAGGGACGCAAGCCTTGTGTTTCTGCAGGCCATGTGGGCCATGCAGCCTTGTGTTTCCACACAGCCTTGATTAATTCTTTTTGGGAGTGACATTTCTCTGCGGACCACCAAAATTTTCTCATGGGCCACCAGTGGTCCCCGGCCCACTGGTTGGCGACTTCTGGTCTGGATGACTACAAATCTCCACAGACTAAACTGGTTTTTCTCAACCTCAGCAAGTTTAAGATGCTTGAACTTCAACTCCCAGAATTCCTCAGCCAGCCATGAGGAAAAAAAAAAATCTGGCTGGGGAATTCTGGGATTTGAAGTCCACGCAAATTAAACTGAGATTGAGAAACGCTGGACTACAGAAAAAGTCTGGTGGGGAATTCTGGGAGTGTTGCTGCTGCTTCCATGTCTAGATCAAACTTTAAACTGCCAGAATGAAGCCATTTTCTTGGCTTTGTCATTGGCCAAAAATAAATCATTATCGGTACGTTTCTGGTAATAGATAACACACCAGCAGATGTCTCTGGGATTTGAATTCTGGGAATTGAAATCCACAAATCTTAAGCTTGGGGATGTTGAGATACATTGGACTACAGGGGTGTCAAATTGGCGGTCCACAGGCCAGATGTGTCACGCACAGGCCATGCCCACCTCAGGTCCGCAAAGGGAAAAAACATCGCCAAACGTCGCGCGATGGCAACGTGACACCATGAGTTTGACACCCGTGGACTACAGGAAGAGGAGAGGATCCTGCCATTTTCAGGCTGAGGAACCCATCAAAGTACAAAGAGCTGCTTTCAAAATGTGCTTTGTGGTTTCTTTCAAGGCATGTGTACAGCCTCATGTACCAGATTTGTCCTTTTTAGCTTTAAGGATCAAATGCAGCAAATTTATATTTATTGGAAGTTATTCAGGCTTCAGCCGTTTATCTGGTAACACAGACTGCCAGAACCTGGTGCCCTCCAACTCTGATTAATTTCAAATGTTTCTTTTGCTGGTGCAGCCGGAGTTAAAGGTCCAGTGGTGGGATTCAAATTTTTTTACTACCGGTTCTGTGGGCGTGGCTTGATGGGCAAGGCAGGAGGATACTGTAAAATCTCCATTCCCTCCCCACCCCACTCACCTGCTTTCCAGCTCCGTTCTCCTGTGCAGGGCAACCAAAGAAGACCCAGCCAATCAGCTGGGACTCAATGGGAGGCAGAGAATAGATGTGGGAGGGGCCAGTCAGAAGTGGTATTTGCCGGTTCTCCGAACTACTCAAAATTTCCGCTCCCGGTTCTCCAGAACTGGTCACAACCTGCTGAATACCACTCTGGCAAGGCCCTGCCTCGGCTGTCTTCTCAGGAGAGCATGACTCTTGAAACAAGTGGTATTTCAAAAGGAACGTTTTCTGAAAGTGATTGCAGAGAAGTCAGGCGAAGTCTGAAAATTCCCATGCAAAGTGTTAAGCTAATTTTCTTGAGTATTTGACTTTTTGGCAATGATGAATGGCTTTTTGCTGTGTCCGGAGGGAGTTAAGTTAGATGAATCACATTAAGAAATAGGTTAATTGACTTGATATGACATGAACTGTTGGGTAGCATTTATGTGAACATTCCTTACAGAAATGTTTATCAAAACTGCATTGCATGCTACATCAGTTTTTTTAAAAAACCCTCCTTTTCATCTTACAAGAAAGCTCTGTTTTAAGATGATGCTTGCTAGCATTAGGGCTGTGAAAAATATAAATTTGAAAAGGAGACTCTAATTTGGGATACATATGGGAACTCTGTAAATGACATATATTTCTAAGATTACACAACCACTACCGTTCAGTTGCCTTTCAAAGCCAGTTTTCAGCACAACCCACCATGTTCTATGTCTACAAAAGGACTATTCTTGGCTCAGAAATAACTTTTTACCCATATACGTGCACTTAGACTGCATAGTCTTACAAAATAGTCAGTCACACATGAGCCTGACTGTTGAGCAAACTCACTCTGTGTGGTTCATTTATGTTTCAGTGTGTTGTATAAAAAGAAACACAATGCAGTTAATCAAGATGCTCATTTAATTAACTCTAACAATTAATTACTTTAAGCCTGCAATGTGAATAAATAGCCAGGGAGAACTATTTAGAGCAGGAGTCTTCGAACTTGGCAACTTTCAAGACTTGTGGACTTCAACTCCCAGAATTCCTCCTCCAGTCATGTTAGCTCAGGAATTCTGGAAGTTGAAGTCCACAAATCTTAAACTTGCCAAGTTTGAAGACCCTTGATTTAGAGGCTTTTCCAAATAGACAATATCTGGGGTTCTCAATCAGAAGGCAATTTTACCTGCTGAGCCAATTTTTATAGAATGTCCCAGCAATTCCAGTGGTAACATTTAATAAGGCCAAGAACATCTGGAAAGTTTTTTTAATGTACCTTCCTAGTAGAGAAAAAGGTTGGTTTGATATCTGCTTTCTAGAACTGCTCTGCCCAGTCTTTTATCATCTGAAGTATGTCCTGCAGTCTATATAGAACCTATAGCTGGACGCTTTGATCAGATGCCCACAAGATATATCAAAGAACTTCTTTCTCACCAGGTACCCTTTCTCTCTTGATTTTCTTAAAATGCTACAAATCTGCAGTTTCCATGTTACCCTTATGAATAAGGCAGCATCTGGGCCCTACAGGCCACCTCAGATAATTAAAAAAAAAAAGATTGGGAGATGCAACTCAACCATTTGCCCTTGCCAGGAGAAAGCGTGAAGATAGGATGGCAGAGACCATATGTGACTAGAGAAGGGGAGAAGATGAAATACCAGGAAGCAACCTCACAAATTTGCCTTCTGGTAAAAGGGCATTTTGGGATTAGCCACGTCCCCCACCGTCCATAATTAACCCCAAATTCCAGAGTTAAGACACTCCATTCAAAGATGACAAATGCCTTGCAATGGTAGCTCCCAGAGGGGTTATCAAAAATATCAAAATATACTGCTCAAAAAAATAAAGGGAACACTTAAACAACACAATGGAACTCCAAGTCAATCACACTTCTGTGAAATCAAACTGTCCACTTAGGTAGCAACACTGATTGACAATCAATTTCACATGCTGTTGTGCAAATGGAATAGACAACAGATGGAAAGCATAGGCAGTTAGCAAGACATCCCCAATAAAGGAGTGGTTCTGCAGGTGGTGACCACAGACCACTTCTCAGTTCCTATGCTTTCTGGCTGATGGTTTGGTCACTTTTGAATGCTGGCGGTGCTTTTACTCTAGTGGTAACATGAGACGGAGTCTACAACCCACACAAGTGGCTCAGGTAGTGCAGCTCATCCAGGATGGCACATCAATGCGAGCTGTGGCAAGAAGGTTTGCTGAGTCAGTCAGTGTCATGTCAAGAGCATGGAGGCGCTACCAGGAGACAGGCCAGTACATCAAGAGACATGGAGGAGGCCGTAGGAGAGCAACAACCCAGCATCAGGACCGTTACCTCCGCCTTTGTGCAAGGAGGGACATGAGGAGCACTGCCAGAGCCCTGCAAAATGACCTCCAGCGGCCACAAATGTGCATGTGGCTGCTCAAACCGTCAGAAACAGACTCCATGAAAGTGGTATGACGGCCCGACGTCCACAGGTGGGGGTTGTGCTTACATTGTATCAATTTGCATTTGCCAGAGAACACCAAGATTGGCAAATTTGCCACTGGTGCTCTGTGCTCTTCACAGATGAAAGCAGGTTCACACTGAGCACGTGTGACAGGGTCTGGAGATGCTGTGGAGAATGTTGCTCATCCTCCAGCATGACTGGTTTGGCAGTGGGTCAGTAATGATGTGGGGTGGCATTTCTTTAGGGGGCCGCACAGCCCTCCATGTGCTCGCCAGCAGTAGCCTGACTGCGATTAGGTACCGAGATGAGATCCTCAGACCCCTTGTGAGACCATATGCTGGTGTGGTTGGCCCTGGGTTCCTCCTAATGCACAACAATGCTAGACCTCATATGGCTGGAGTGTGTCAGCAGTTCCTACAAGACGAAGGCATTGATGCTATGGACTGGCTCGCCCGTTCCCCAGACCTGAATCCAATTGAGCACATCTGGGACTTCCTGTCTCGCTCCATCCACCAACGCCTCGTTGCACCACAAACTGTCCAGGAGTTGTGGGATGTTTAGTCCAGGTGTGGGAGGAGATCCCTCAGGAGACCATCTGCCTCCTCATCAGGAGCATGCCCAGGTGTTGTACGGAGGTCATACAGGCATGTGGAGGCCACACACACTAGTGAGCCTCATTTTGACTTGTTTTAAGGACATTACATCAAAGTTGGGTCAGCCTGTAGTGTTTTTTTCCACTTTAATTTTGAGTGTAACTCCAAATCCAGACCTCCATGGGTTGCTAAATTTGATTTCCATTGATAATTTTTGTGTGATTTTGTTGTCAGCACATTCAACTATGTAATGAACGAAGTATTTAATAAGAATCTTTCATTCATTCATATCTAGGTTGTCTTATTTTTGTGTTCCCTTTATTTTTTTGAGCAGTGTATATTCCTCTTTAGAATCATCAACATTTGCTAAAGGTTCTTCTAGAAGTAGGTTAGCATATCAGCCATGGGAAAGGAAAAGAACTCGAATGTTTTGCAGCATAGGTGGTCCACAACTTAGGACCACAATTCAGCCTGAAATTTCTATTACAAAGTGAGACATTTGTTAAGTGAACTTTGGCCCATTTTACAACCTTTTTTTGCCAGTCGTTAAATGAATCACTGCAGTTGTTAAATTAGCAACATCGTTGTTAAGTGAATCCGGCTTCCCCATTGACTTTGCTTGTCAGAAGGCTGCAAAAGGGGATCGCATGACATTGCAAATGTCATAAATACGAGTCTGAAAGCATCTGAATTTTTATCACTTGACCATTGATAAGCTGCAACAATCGTAAGTGTGAAAAATGGTCATAAATCTCTTTTTTCAGTGCTCTTGTAACTTTGAATGGTCACTAAAATGAACTGCTGTAAATCGAGAATTACCTGTAATTTCATATGCTCTGGCATATCAAAACTGGAGCCAATTCCTTTAAGGGTGAAAGGGAAGATAAATTACATGCTTAAATGACTAGACCTTGTGCTATCAACTACAAGCAGTCCTCAACTTATGACCTTAATGGAGCCAGCCTGTTATGGTCATATGTTGTGACACTTGCATATTGGGTTGGTCAATCAATCCGATTTTACAACCTTTTCTGTGGTGGTCATAAAACACCATGCTTTTAGTCGCTATGGTGTTCGTTGAAAATCAGAAGCTACTTGTCATAAAATGCAGTCATGTGACCACAGAATACTGCAAAATCCCATAAATGTTGTGTTGCTGGGTGCACAAAGTATGGTCATATGACCTCAAATGCCCCCCCCCCAAACTATTAAAACTTCAGAACCAGGTCATAGCTCTTGTTTTGCAGGTAAGCTGTCACTTTGAACAAATAAGAGATAATCAGATTGGAAGGGTCCTTGTAGGTCATCTAGTCCTACCCCTTTCCCAAGCAGGAGACCCTACACCATTTCTGACAGATGGAAGTCGAATCTCTTCTTGAAAGACTCAAGTGATGGCGCTCCCACAACTTCCAAGGGCAACTTCTGTTCCATGGGTTGATTGTTCTGACTGTCAGAAAGTTTCTCCTTATTTCCAGGTTGAATCTCTCCTTGTTCAGTTTCCATCCATTATTCCTTGTCTGACCTTCAGGTGCTTTGCAAAATAGCTGGACCCCTTCCTCTCTGTGGCAGCCCCTCAAATATTGGAAGACTGCTATCATGTCTTCCTTGGTCCTTCTCTTCACTAGACTAGCCAGGCCCAGTTCCTGTAACTGTTCTTCATATGTCATAGTCTCTAGTCCCCGCATCATCCTGGTTGCTCTTCTCTGTACTTTTTTTAGAGTCTCAACATCTTTTTTATAATGTGGTAACCAAAACTGGATGCAGTACTCTAGTCTAGGTGTGATCTTACTAAGACTTTATAGAGTGGTATTAGTACCTCATTTGATCTTGAGTAACTCACTTGATCTTGTTGCTAAGTGACTGTAAGACAAGGACCACCTGTATGCTTATATACTGATTCCTTCAGGCCTCATTTCAGAAACAGATTACAGGAAATCTCCATGTTGAAGCCCTGGATCCTCCAGTTAAGGGGATCAGGCAACAGATATAAAAGAGCCACTGGAAAAAAAATCAACTGCCACAATAAACAATATTGACTTTTTTAGAGCTGATGAAAGATGCTTTCCTGTTTAAATCAGCCCTTTAATGAGAACTGGGAAAATGATGATCTTTAGGAAAAGGAATATAGTTCAATGTGGCAACATTGTGTGTCATTCTTTCTTTGCAGGACTGATTCTGCACACCACTAATTCATGAGGATCATGTCACGGTTCCGTTGGAGTTGCCACAAACTGGAAGCCATGACAGATCAGGGAATAAGCAATAGGGAAGACTTACGTGCCGTGATGCTGCGAGTTTGACACCCCTGACCTAGGAAATCACTGTTGGGAGTTTGCACCATTGGGCTATAACAATCATTTCACCTGCCTATCTGGTAAAATAATGTCCAGAATGAAGTATATGTATATCACTCTAAAAGAGAGAAAAAAAATCAAAGCTAGGTCACAATAGAAGCAACCTGGCTACAAATAGGATCGCTGTATATTTTTATATAACATATCTGGCAATTTTTCCACAGGCAACCAAAACTACATCAAGGAAAGTTTAAACACTTGCATTAATTACACTGGTTTATTTAAATAGTCCCATTTTGGAGAACTAATTCATCCTGGATTTTACTAATCACAAGGGGAGGAAGGCAGAAAAAGGAAGAGAAAAATAAATAAATAAAAGGCCATTCTTTTCTGACCTCTTGGAGTGCACACCAACCACAGCCCTCGTGGGCTAGAAATTTGATTTGAATACATATTCAAAGGGAGTATAGATATTTACGAAGTGCACAATGCAAGGATCCCACACTATTCAACCTCCTTTTTTGCCCTTAATCAGGTGACACTTCTATTATAAAAAAAAAAATTGAGGGCAGGAGCAATTAGAGAAAAATAAAGGCAGCATGCATTGGTTGAACAGCATGATGACACACAGAAACAACTGGAATGGCTGAGGACAAAAAACAGATCAGGACTTCAGGCAGCACATTCAAACAAATGGAAGCATTACAGCAGGAAGCTGGTAAGCTTAACCGTTGTCATAGTAACCAAGGCCTAGTTGAGTAACACATACCTGCAGGGCAGGAGAAGGAAGTATTCCGAGACAGTAGCAAAACATGAGCTCCCACCACCTGCTCCTTCCACCCTCTCTTTTGTTGCTAAAATCTTTTGAGACAATTTGTACAGGCGCTAGAGTTTCGCACACGCACCGCAGGGGTCTCCCGTTCTTGAACGTGGAAGCATTGTTGCAGGGCGGCATCGTTGGCACCGCACTGCCACCCTGTTTATGAGAGAAGGGCCGCTTCGTGGACATTGCCAACACAACACGGCAAAAGGGCAGCCTGGGCCAAGAAGCTGAAGGCCAGAGAGTATGGAGCGCAGGCCTCCTGCTGTAGCAACTAAGTCCTATCCAACTCCAAAGGCATCAATACACTTTCCTCCCCACCCTCTCAACTGCTCAGTCTGGATTTATTCCAATCTTTGCTTCCCTCTCCTACTCCTCATTCGCAGGTGCTGCCCAGTGGAGGGGGATTGAGACCTCAACGGGCCAGGCTTCCTTTCTGGCCAGTCCAGAGTTCCCGCAGCTCCACCTTGCAGCCCAGGTCCCTCAAGGCGGCTTTGGCCACGTCATCGCAGTCCCGATGGGCTTCTCGGGCTTCAGTGATCAAGTCCTCAGCTCCCATCTCCAGGATGGGCTGGGAGAAGTCCTGCGTATGCGAGACCAAGTTGCGAATCAACATGCAAGCTTGCTTCTGGTGAGAAAAGGAAAGGAAAAGGCAGATGTGAGGATCCAGGACTAACAGTCTATAAACTTTATTTTAAGAGAGCCAGTTTGGTCTCCTGGCTAATGCACCGGGCTAGAAACTGGGAGGACATGAGTTCTAGTCCCACCTTAAACATGAAAACCAGCTGACTGACTTTGGGTTAGCCACGAGGAGGCTGTGAATTCTAATCCTGCCTTAGGCAAGAAAGCTGACTGGGTGACTTTGAGACAATCACCAGAAGTCTGTGAGTTCTAGTTCTACTTTAGGCATGTTGGCTGGGTAACTTGGGCCCAATCTCTCCTTGTTTCCTTCATTTCTTAAATATATCAACTGGTAGGTGGGGCCCTATATTACCACATATTAAGTCAGTGTTTCTCAATCTTGGTAACTTTAAGACCTATGGATTTCAATTCCCCAAATTCTCCAGCCATCCATGGAGTTTTGAGAGTGGGAAATTCTGCTTCAGGAATCCTAGGAGTTGAAATCCACGCCTTAAACGTTGTCCAGGCTGGAAAACACTGTTTTAAGTGATATTTATATATTCAACCATCACATTGCTTCAGGATTCCAAGGCTGAAATTAATTTCCCTGACAGGTGTTTTGTGATGATCTTTGGAAGGGTTGCAAGATACACCAATTATCTTTTTAATATATTTTATATTTCCTAAGAGTAGGTACGTTGCTGCTTTGATATCATGAATAAGCTACCCTTGGGGTTTTGGGGTAATGAACAAAAATATTTAGATAAGGGTTAAAATTATTTAATAAGCACTAGTCATAATCTGAACACTTTATTCATTTATTTGTATTTCATATTTCTAGACTGCTCATCTTCCTCAAGTACACTTACATACTGTGCATTTTATGACCCTTGTGTTATATATAATGCAGTCACTGATGGGTTTTCAAAGGGTATTAAACCTGATTTTTCCCACAGGTTTCAAATGGATATGCTCTGAATTATTTTCTTGCAGTCCGGGGGTTTATTTAAATAGAGTACTTATTTTGTTCCTAGGCAACAGTAAGTATTTATTTATATTTTAAATCTTACTGACAGAACAAGGCCTCCGAGAATTCAGAATATAAGACCAGGAAATAAATAAATAAATGCATTAAAATTTTAAAATAAATTTAAACATTGGTTTTAAAAAGAAATCCAATTGGCAGGGGAAGGACAAGGAAGTCCTGCAATTATCTAATGCAGTGTTTCTCAACATTGACAACTTTTAAGATGAGTGGACTTCAACTCCCAGAATTCCTGACAGTATAGCTGGCTGGGGAATTCTGGGAGTTGAAGTCCACACATCTTGAGAAAACTGATCTAATGATCAAGAGGAATTAGCTGGTGTTTCCTGTTTCCTTTTGCAACCCACGTCCTACACATCCATTCCCAGGGGACAGTCCTGCCACAAGGCTTTCTCAGATATGGAAACAGGATAGTCAGAGAGGCTGCACAGGGACAATGAGAGGTCTAGCAGAAAGAAGACCTGGCCTTAATGAAAACCCAGAAAAGTTATTTGACAGCACTCTGGAAATGGGAAAACGGTAATGCCTTTCATGGGAAAAACAGGAAGGCAGCTTCCACCAGAAATTTCTATGAGGGGAAAAATCAGAGACTGTTGCCATAGCTACAGATAGTTTCTATAGCATGATTTTTCTGTTTTGCCAAAACACTCCGTTTGTGTGTCTGTCTGTCTGTCTGTCTGTCTGTCTGTCTGTCTGTCTCTCTCTCTCTCTCTATCTTTCATAATTAAGAATCTATCACTTTTTTCTGTGGTAGGTCATCCTTGGAAATAAAAAAAAAAGAATAACTTCTTTGGCCTTACAGTTTATAGCAGAGAAATCTTTATTTCAAAGGGAGAAAGAAAAGATTAAAAAGAAAAGAAAAATAAATGTCTGTCTATCTATCTATCCATCCATCCATCCATCTATCTAAATGGACTGGCTGAAAAGCATGAAAGGAGCTGTGGTCCCAGTAGGGGAATAATGACATCACCTGCACAGCAACTTCCCTGGGGTGCGTCTTCATGGCCTGCAAAGCTGCCAAGGCTCCCCCGCCTTCCATGATGACTCGGCAGTTCTCTGGCTTGCGCAACGCTAGCATACACAATGCCGCACAACTCTGTTCACACACCTAACAGCAAGAACAAATAGAGCCAGTAGTAAAATCCTACCCAGCTTCCAAATGCTGAAATAATGTCTGAGCTCACACCCGTGCTAAGCCAGGATCCTTTAAACCATGGATAGAAGCAAACCTGGATGGCCTAAACCTGTGAGGGCAAACCTATGGCACGCGTGCTAGAAGTGGCACGCAGAGCCATCTCTGCCGGCACGCAAGCCGTCGCCCCAGATCAGGTCCACTGCGCATGTGCACGCGCCCCCTGCCAGCCGTTGGGTATCTGCCGCGCATGGGCAGTGTGCACACAAGAGATGCGCACGCATGTGCAGAGGTGTGTGGTGCATGCGCATGTACAGAAGTGTGCTGTGCATGGGGGTCGCATACGCATGCGCAGGGTGGTAGATGGGTCATGTACGCAAACAAGCACACACACACTTTTGGCACACGAGGACAAAAAGGTTAACCATCACTGGTCTAAACCAGGGGTTGCCAACCTTTTGGACCTCAGGGACCACCAAAGCCATAATTTTAGATCCCAGGGACCGCTAACTGGTTCTGTGGGTGTGGCCTAATTTGTGGGTGTGGCTTGGTGGTCATGTGACTGGTTGGGCATGGCTTGTATGTAAATACTATAAATATTTATATAAATATTGAATTTTTTATAAAAAAGAGCAACTTTTACCCAAAATCAAGCAAAGCAGGCAGATTGAGTTGCTCACAGAATCATTCAGTGATCTATCTGTCTGCCATCGGCTAGCTCAGTCTCTCAAATTTGCTTGCCGTGAGTCTGCACTGAATTTGCTTGCAAGCAAACCTTCAGTCCTAAGGGAGGTTCAGCTGTGCTTAAAAGCAGAGCCGAAGATCTAAAGATTAGTAGAAAGCAAGAAATCCAACCATTTCCTGCTTCCTAGCTAATCTAAATCTCCTGGCACAGCAGAACAGATGATGGTCAGAAAAAGGAAAAATAGCAATTTAGCAGGCAAGTTTGTCAGGTAAGGAGTGAGTGGGCGGGGAGGGTTCCAGCAGGCCATGTGGGTGGCGCAGCCTTGTGTTTCTGCACAGCCTGCATTAATTGCTTTGGAGGTGTGCTCTGGGGGTCAGATTTCTCTGCGGCCCACCAAAATTTTCTCGCGGCCACCGGTTGGCGACCGCTGGCCTAAACCATGGGTGGGGTACTGTAGCCCTTCTATGACTTGTGGACTTTTAACTCCCCAAACCTCTGAGTTGTTCCTGTTAGTTTTTCAACAGATGGACTTGATGGCAAGAGAAGAGAAGAGAAGAGCATATGGAATGGAATGGAATGGAAGGGAAGGGAAGGGAAGGGAAGGGAAGAGAAGAGAAGAGCATATGGAATGGAATGGAATAGAATAATAACTTTATTGTCACTTTGAATGTACACTAATCAGCATACATTAAAATGAAATTTTGCCGCATACAGTTCTCAAAGGGTCACCACCTCCAATATACACTACATAAACATGACTAAATAAATACAAAATTATGCATATACCCACATATATTATATGAAACAGAGAAACAACGCAGTCTAGCTCAGATGTATGCAAACCAAGTCTCCAACGCACACTAATAGAGATGCCAAGTAAGGTAACAGCTCTAGGAATAGATAATTTAGACCACTTGAAACAGAGCTACTTTCTCCCGGTGCAAACACTCCCATGTTCTCAACCTACCTGCGGGTTGCCAAGATGGCGACTCATGGCCAAAATAATGAGATCAGTCCCTCCTGCATTGACAATGGCATCTTTGACATCATCGTTGCCTGCAATGGCCCGGATGGCACTGAGCACCTGTTTCACCAGTTCCTACAATTTGTCACAGAATGAGAAAGAATCCTTATGAAACCCAGAATACATATGGGAGTTTAAAAAAACAAAATAAACCAAGAGCCACAGGATTGGGACAGATAAAAGCCAAAGCAAGATCCTTCTCTCCACCTTCAATCTCTGATAAAAGTGAAATACTCAGTAGAACAATCAAGAATGTGGATAGTCTGTTATTACTACCACTGAAAAAGCTATCTATAAATTATTTCTGTTTATGTAAAGTCAGACGTGCAACTTGTGGGACACATGTGAGCATTCCTTTCCCCTGAACGATTTTTGTACCAGAGGTTACTTTGGCCTATATTCTTTATTTGCCTTTGGCAAAATTAGGAGTTAAATAAGTACCTTCAAATGCTTCGAAAAACTATTCCAGATGAGGCTGATCAATGCCTGCCCCCCCATTCCTGGCATATTGTATACAGGTGAAACTTGAAAAATTAGAATATTGTGCAAAAGTTCATTTATTTCAGTAATGCAACTTAAAAGGTGAAACTCATTACATGCAAAGCAAGATAGACTCATTACATGCAAAGCAAGATAGTTCAAGCCATGATGTGTCATAATTGAGATGATTATGACTTACAGCTCATGAAAACCCCAAATCCACAATCTCAGAAAATTAGAATATTGTGAAAAGGTTTGATATTCTAGGCTCAAAGTGTCCCACTCTAATCAAATAATTAAGCCATAACACCTGCAAAGGGTTCCTGAGCCTTTAAATGGTCTCTCAGTCTGGTTCAGTAGGAATCACAATCATGGGAAAGACTGCTGACCTGACAGTTGTACAGAAAACCATCACTGACATCCTCCATAAGGAAGGAAAGCCTCAAAAGGTAATTGCAAAAGAAGTTGGATGTTCCCAAAGTGCTGTATCAAAGCACATTAATAGAAAGTTATGCGGAAGGGAAGCGTGGAAGAAAAAGGTGCACAAGCAGCAGGGATGACCACAGCCCGAAGAGGATTGTCAGGAAAAGGCCCTTCAAAAGTGTTGGGGACTTTCACAAGGAGTGGACTGAGGCTGGAGTCAGTGCATCAAGAGCCACCACACAGAGACTAGATCCTGGACATGGGCTTCAAATGTCGTATTCCTCTTGTCAAGCCACTCCTGGACAACAAACAACGTCAGAAGCGTCTTACTTGGGCTAAAGAAAAACAGAACTGGTCTGTTGCTCAGTGGTCCAATGTCCTCTTTTCTGATGAGAGCAACTTTTGCATCTCGTTTGGAAACCAAGGACCCAGAGTCTGGAGGAAGAATGGAGAGGCACATGCTACAAGATGCTTGAAGTCCAGTGTGAAGTTTCCACAGTCTGTGTTGATTTGGGGAGCCATGTCATGTGCTGGTGTTGGTCCACTGTGCTTCATTAAGTCCAGGGTCATCATAGCTGTCTACCAGGAGATTTTGGAGCACTTCATGCTTCCTTCCACAGACGAGCTTTATGGGGATTCTGACTTCATTTTCCAGCAGGACTTGGCACCTGCCCACACTGCTAAAAGCACCAAAACCTGGTTCAATGTCTCTGGGATTACTGTGCTTGATTGGCCAGCAAACTCGACTGACCTGTACCCCATAGAGAATCTATGGGGCATTGCCAAGAGAAAGATGAGAGACATGAGACCAAACAATGCAGAAGAGCTGAAGGCTGCTATTGAAGCATCCTGGTCTTCCATAACACCTCAGCAGTGCCACAAGCTGATACTTCCATGCCACGCCGCATTGAGGCAGTAATTGCTGCAAAAGGGGCCCATACCAAGTACTGAGTACATATGCATGCTTATACTTTTCAGAGCTCCAATATTGTTCTATGTATAATCCTTGTTTTATTGATTACATGTAATATTCCAATATTCTGAGATTGTGGATTTGGGTTTTCATGAGCTGTAAGCCATAATCATCTCAATTATGACACATCATGGCTTGAACTATCTTGCTTTGCATTTAATGAGTCTATCTCATATATTAGTTTCCCCTTCTAAGTTGCATTACTGAAATAAATGAACTTTTGCACGATATTCTAATTTTTCGAGTTTCACCTGTATAGCGACATTGGTGACATAATTCTGAAAGACCCCAACCCTCCATTTTGTACTTTTAACCCCACCAGTTCCAAATGAGCAGAAAACTTTGCCTCCATCATTCCAGTGCCATGAAAAATAGGATGGTCTCACTGCAATAAGGGATGCATGCTCAATTTTTTTTTCATGCGCAAGAGAGACCATTTTGAAATCCATACACAGTGGGCCTCCATGTTCTTAGACATGTGAGACCAGGATTGCTACTATGTGATTCAGAGTGTTATAGGAATCCAATCAAAACGTTATCAGTTTCCACTGGGCTTCTTTCAGGGGCTTGCAAATTCTCTTGTCACAGATGCTTCCAAATGGGTCACCCTTCTCTTGGTACTCTGTGGTGGGAGACACACTAAAAGTATAATGTAAGCCTTGAAACAGGCTTTAACAGTTTTAAGATACCTCCTTTCCCACAATCAAAACCTGTGCCCTTAGCCCTTATTAAGAGCACCCTCATCAATTCCAAAACAGTCAGAAAGTATGGGAGAGTCAATTGACCAACTAAGACAAGTTGGATCATTCCAAAAATTAAGAGGAGATGGAAACTAGTCAGCTAGCCAAGTTGTCCATTAGGTAGGGCAAAATGAAAAGGTAAACGCACCAAAGCTTGAACCTATTCTCTTTAAAGTTAATTTATTCTGGATTAACTACAGTTGTCTATGGAGATTCTCAGTCATCCAGATCGTGGTTGTCCTAAAGGTGCTTTTTCAAAAGGCAACTGGACTTTCTTTGTTATTCCTTGAAGACGTTTCACTTCTCATCCAAGAAGCTTCTTTGGTTCAGTTCTTTAGAAGTGAAGAAGCTTCTTGAATGAGAAGCAAAAAATCTTCAACAAAAAACAAGAAAGTCCAGTTGCCTTTTGAAAAAGCACCTTTGGGGTTAACTACAGTCGATAAGATTCTTTTGATTACGGCAAATTTTGTTCAGTATGCATTATTCATGCTCGGTTCTTGGCTTTTCTTGTGAACTTATCAAAGCGGTTTCAGTCTTGCTGAAGTGGGTGATAGCTGACAGTTAGAGCCCTAAGAACTATGACATTGCTTGTTCCTGAGCCATAAGAATAGTTTATTAAGCAGCTTGGGGTATAAAGGATTCTCCTTTGCTTGAAAACACGGGTAACTACTGTGTTGACAATTAGTGTTCACTATACTGGGCTAAAGAAGTGAAATAATCTGTTGCAGTCAGGGTGTTTATTGCTATTTTAATACCTGATGATCAATGCAGTCCGCCAACAGTGCCACTATGAAGTTTAAGCCTCCAAGGTCCATGATCTCCTGGCAAAATTCATTCCGGACAGACAGGCGTGCCAGAGTGGCACAGATTTCACTCAAAACACTACAGTCATCAGTGAAGGCTGAGCAGGAGAGAAAAAAGACAAAGCATCAGCAAAGCTCCCTGTGCAGTACAGATAGTCCTCAATTGATCATAGTAATGGAACCTGCCCATGATGGTTTGAGTTGTGACTATAAAACAGGTTGGACAAGTGACCAGCCCGACTGAGAACCTTTTTTTTTGCAGTCGTCGTTAAGCAAATGGGATAGTCGTGAAGTGGCTGTCATTAAGCAAATCCTGCAGCTGTTAAGCAAACTAAGGGTTTTCATTACAGGTGAGGCTTTGCCAAAACCCAGAAATAAATGCTAGTTATCGGCAAAACTCATGGTCACAGGATCGCAGGATGTTGCAAACAGCCCTAAATGCGGTTGTATTGCCAACCGCCCAAAGTTCACTCACGGATTGCAAGGGAAAGGTCATGATCACTAGAACTTCAATCTTTAAAAAGCCTCATCATAATTCTGAGCAGTGAGCAATCGTAAGTGAGCCGTCGTGTGTTGTACAATACCACAGAAGTGACAATAAACCATGGAAATTCAACTTTGGAATTCAGGTCCCTGAAGTGCTCATTAACAAATACGAATATAAGTCATGCTTTTTAGCATCCATAGCTTTAGCTATGTAAAACCAAGTGGTATCATTAAAAAAAACTGATACGAAGAAATGGTGGTATAGATCTGTCAAACAATATGGAGACAGAAGCTAAAGCGAGAACTGTGGTGGTGTAGTGGTTAGAATGCAGTACTGCAGGCTACTTCTGCTGGCTGCCAGCAGTTTGGGTCTCACCCACTCAAGGTTGACTGAGCCTTCCATCCTTCCAAGGTCGGTAAAATGAGGACCAAGATTGTTGGGGGCAATAGGCTGACATTTGTAAACCACATAGAGAGGGCTGTGAAGCACTGTGAAACAGTATATAAGTCTAAGTGCTATTGCTAAACATACCGAACTAAAGTCTGCACAACTATTACTATTAATCTTCTCATCACTCCTTATCATCCATCCCCTCCCACTTGTGACTGTATGACTATCATTAAGTGTTGTACCTGATGATTCTTGACTCTTGACGAATGTATCTTTTATGTACACTGAGAGCATTTGCACCAAGACAAATTCCTTGTGTGTCCAACCATACTTGGCCAATAAAAGAATCAATCAATCAATCAATCTATCTATCTATCTATCTATCTATCTATCTATCTATCTATCTATCTATCTATCTATCTATCTATCTATCTCACTAACTAACTAACTAACTAACTAACTAACTAACTAACTAACTAACTAACTAACTAATAAAATTTCTCATGGAATTCAAGGGGGAAAGGTGAGGGTTCTTTGTCCTCCCAGCAACTTGCAAAAAGCAAGTTTTAAGGTCAGGTGCAAGGAACCAGAACGACACTATGAGATGACCAGAGTTACTTCTTTTTTGCTGCTAACCTATTTAACAAGAATCTCACCGAATCGCTGCCTCTTCCTGGGGACAGCCACATTTAAGGGCTTCAGGAATTTGGGGGCAGATTGGGTCTGCGTCTCTAAGGGCTCTTAAGTTTGCCAGCCTCCTCCCTTCTCCTCCCACTAAAGCTGGAGATTACAGCACATTTAAAAGTGGAAGGGTGGGGGTGGAAGTCATACAGAAAGATAAATAGCGGGCCTGTATTATGTAATTTATGTCCCTGTGCTGGAGCATAAAGAAACCAAGAAGAAAGCATGCGAGCAGGGAGATGGTCTTTATTACCTTTGGCTGCCTCTATCAGGATGCCCAAGCCGTTATGCTCAGCCACAATCATCCTGGCATGGTCATGGGCATGGCCGAAGGGCACCCGGATGTCATCGTCAAAGGTCATGATGCGCAGCCCTGAACAAGCCTCCCGGACCACGTCTGCCCGGTCTCCGTGCCGGACTATAGCCTCAGAGAGTAGGGCAAGGATGCCCCCTTTCACAAGATCCTGACGATTCTGCTCGTGTTTCAGGCACGCATATCGGATGCAACGGACGCCAGCCAAAGTCAGGTCAGCGTCATCTCGGCTCTCCTGGAGCACCCGCAGCAAGAGCTCCTGCCCGGGCACATCGAGGATGTCAGGCTGGCCCTCCAGGAGGGCAGAGAGGGCTTGGAGGGCTTTTAAAAGGGAGCATCGCTCTTCCGATGCCAGCCGACAAGCAGCCAGGACTGCAGGGTAGGCACCTTTCTGGGCAGCCAGGTAACGGACCGACAGCTCCTGCCTGCACTGCCTGGCAAAGTTCACCAAAGATTCGTCCACCTTGCTCGAATCTGCATCGATGACGGCTTTCTGGAGACAGTCCAATATCTATAGAAGACAAAGGGGGAAAAAAAAAAGGAGAAGAGTGGAATCTTGCCTTATTCTCTGCACTGCATCTTCCTCCTCTTTCAATTCGGCCGCCATTCGGGAAACATCTAAAATCCTTTCCAGCATTGGAGGATGCACAGATGGCAGCGGCCTCAGTCCCTTCTGTTCATTTGCGTCTTTTCTCTCCGTGTTTTTTGCATGCTTTCTCATCACCAGACTTCTCTGTTTTTCTTCAGACCCTAGGATTTCTAAAGCAGCTTTTAAAATATTCCATTGTTTGCCTTTTTTTTTTTTAACTCTAGATACTATTGCTTATTTTAACAGAGAGATTAACAGAGTTGGAAGGGACCTTGTAGGTCATCTAGTCCAACCCCCCTGCCCAAGCAGGAGACCCTACACCATTTCTGACAGATGGCTATCCAGTCTCTTCTTGAAAGCCTCCAGTGAGGAAGCTCCCATAACTTCCGAAAGCAATTCCTGTTCCATTATTTTACTGATCGTATGCAAACAACTTTATGAGGCCTGCCTGAAAAAAGGTACTTGTGAATACTTTTAATAAATATAGACGCAACATACAGTATCATGTTGGTGTGTCTACATTTTAAAGCAATTTATACCAAGATCGAGATTTCAATGAGTAAGCAATACGTGAGTGAAAAACTGTATCCACAGCGCTATGTTTGTGAGTTCCTAGAGCCACCTGCGTGATCTACCTGGAAATCTATATATATAAAAGCGAAATACCACTCACGCACCATCACAAAATCTCCAGAACCATAAAGCCTACAAACTTGAAATTTGGCACGTATCTTCCTCTTGGCTTCTAGGTGCTCACTAAGAAAGATTTTTCGAAATGACCATCAGAGCATTAGTATTTCCTATATTATTATTAACACGCTCAGATGCTAAGGAGTTCTAGTCCCCCTCCCCACCTGAAAAGAAATCTGTTCCAAATGCAAAACACAAGCAGAGGAGAGGAATTTAAGTTTCAATTTTAGTTTCACAACACCAAGCAGCTTTAGTACAGAACAGTTGAGCTAAGCCATGCCCAGGCTCCTTGCTGTCTCCTTCTTGCTCACACAGCAAATACTCTCAGTTTCCAACAGCCCTCAACTCTCTGACACACTGACAGGACGCTAGCCAGATGAATGCTGGTAGGCAGAGACAGATTTTTTTTCTCCTTATTTTCCTCCTCAAAAACTAAGCCCGATCACATATGTAGTTTCATAGCGAAGCACGGGTTTCCAGCTAGTAGGAAGATAATTACACCCACATATTGGATCTGATGGACAACCCCTAGCCCTTTCCTGAACAGCATCATCTCACTCACCTGTAAAACCATGTGCTTCTGTTCTTGACCATTCTCTGAAGCTGGACTGGGTACAATCTTTACTATATTGCTTAAATCTACGCCTAAAGGAGAGATAAAATGATGTATCAGCCTGAATATTTCCAGAGAAATTCTCCTATTGTGTCCCTCTAAATGCATTGGATTTTAGGTCCCCTAAGGCTAGCCAAAGGGGCACGGTGGTTCAGTGGCTAAGACGCTGAGCTTGTTGATCAGAAAGGTTGGCAGTTCAATGGTTCGAATCCCTAGCACTGCGTAACAGAGGGAGCCCCCTTGTCCCAGCTTCTGCCAACCTAGCAGTTCAAAAGCATTTAAAAATACAAGTAGAAATATAGGGACCACTTTGGTAGGAAGGTAGCAGCATTCCCTGCGCCTTCGGCATTTAGTCACGCTGGCCACATGACCACGGAGGCGTCTTCGGACAGCGCTGGCTCTTCGGCTTTGTAACGGAAATGAGTACCGACCCCAGAGCCGGAAACGACTAGCACGTATGTGCGAGGGGAACCTTTAACTTTACCTTTAAGGCTAGCCAAGATCTCAATCTGATAAAAACTGCACTGGAGACTGAGTACAATGGGCAAAAGCTTTTTTTTTTTTTTAATTAGGAAAACCACCTGAAAATTTTCACTGGGTAACTTCCTGATAATTAAGATATTTGGTATTATCAATTTGTGACTTATTTTCTCTCTGGAGTGACTATATATGGGCAAGGCAAATGACTTTTGTAAGATGGTACTCAATTATTCCAGTATTTTGGGGAATGGCTATACTATATTCAGACAATAACATTTTGATATACTGAGACTGTTTCAACAATACTTATTTTAAGAATAAAATTCAGATTAATTTCATATTGGGTCTCCCTGCCCCCCAATTGCCATAAACCACACCAATTTCCTTGAGAAGCCAAGTGACTGCTGGCACAGGTGCCTATGTCTAAAAAGATGACATTTCATGTAGGTCAGTATTCCCATCCTTCATACCAGGGATCTCCAACCTTGCCAACTTTAAGACTTGTGGACTTCAACTCCTAGAATTCCTCAGCCAGCTTTACTGAGGAATTCTGGGAGTTGAAGTCCACAAGTCTTAAAATGGCCACAGTTGGAGACCCCTGCTTCATACCATACCTTGAGATTCAAACTGCTGGATGGCTTCATTCAATGCCTCTTCCGGATCCATTCCAAACTCAATGATATTTTCCTGTACCACATCATCAAATGTCTCTTGGGAAATCCGCTTGGCTGCCATGTTGGCCTGCAGACAAGAAAGTTAGCTAGATATTTTATGTAGTGGTATAATTTTTTTAAAAAAAAGGTAAAAGGAGACTGGCATAATAAAGTAAATTAAGCCAGGAAATTATAAGCAGAGAAATATGGCTGAAGTAGTTACTCCCCTCTTTCCCAAAAGCCAAAAATCAAAACCACGCAATACTGTAGAAAGAAAACAAACCCTATTTTCACAGAAATCATAACGAATAAGTGGAATTCCTCACCACAAATTAAGCAATGGCCCTAATTTGCAGACCTTGTCAGAACATATTTATTGCAGGTATTAGCAACTCTAGAATAATAGAAATTCCAGATACAGAGTCGTATATCTGTTTTTGGGAGCGACAGAAGGGAGCAGACATAATCCATACCCAGGGTCCTTGGTATTCTCTAAGCTTGCTTGTTTTCTTAAAGACATTTCATTAGCCAAACTAGGTAAAATCATCAGGGCTAGTCCATAATCCTTATCTTAGCTATTGGGAACTACAGTGGATGGGAAGATACTGGGTTAGATGGACTATAGGCAAGCCTGTGATTTTCTTGGATTAGGCAACCATTTATATTTTTCTAATAAATAAAATTTGCTCCCTTTTTTTTTTCAAGTATGGAAAGTGAACAACTCCCCCAACCATAACATTTCCACAGTGTTCCTGCATTGTTGGTGTCTGTCTCCAGAACTACGCCTACCACCTAATCTGACACATAAATTCACATAAAATACTAATTGTTGAATTAACTCTTTTTCTGGATACACAGGATAGACAAAGCCATTAACAAAAAAGGTTAGTACTAGCCTAGATTACCATGCTAGGAATGTATCTTCCAGGTCTTTATCTAGCCTGGAATTTTTATATTTGAAGTAGCAGACATAGTAGACTACTACATATACCTTGGCCAACAGATCTCAATGGAAGGCGATACAAAAAAAGGAGATTGAACGGCGTGTTAAAAATGGTTGGCAGGCATTTGGCAAGTTAAATGTAATTTTCAACAACAACCTTCCTCCTATGCCTGAAAAGTTTTCAATCAGTGTAAGCTACCTGCTTTAACGTGTGGACACTAACCTCACATTCGATGCAAAAGCTACGAGTGGCGCAAAGAGCCATAGAAAGATACATGCTCGGCATCACAAGACAAGATAAAAAGACCTGCACACGGATTGGAGAACAAACAAAAATATAAGATGCCATCAAAAGAATGGATATGGGCTGGTCACATAGCAAGAAGAACTGATGGGAGGTGGACCAAGGCAGTCATAGAATGGATTCCACTTGATAAAAAGCATCCACGAAAGAGACCTAAAACAAGATGGACAGACCCATCACATCCCGGACATAAACTGTTTCAACTCCTCCCCTCAAAACGATGCTATAGAGCACTGCACACCAGAACAACTAGACACAAGGACAGTTTTTCCCCCGAATGCCATCACTCTGCTAAACAAATAATTCCCTCAACACTATTTACAAAGTCTGCACTACTATTACTATTAATCTTATCATCACTCCTTATCACTCATCCCCTCCCACTTGCGACTGTATGACTGTAACTTTGTCGCTTGTATCCTTACGATTTATATTGAGTTTCCTAGTATGATTTGATTGTTTATTGTACCTTATGACTATCATTAAGTGTTGTACCTGATGATTCTTGACGCTTGACAAATGTATCTTTTCTTTTATGTACACTGAGAGCATTTGCACCAAGACAAGTTCCTTGGGTGTCCAATCACACTTGGCCAATAAAAGAATGATAATTCTAATGGACAACATCAAGCAAATATTGGGGGCCCAATTGGCAAAAGAAAGTTCAGGATCCTATCGGTTGGAAACCTGTGGAAGAGGCATTCATCCTGCAGTGAATAGACAATGGCTAAAATGACAACGAATGATGCTTGGTAAAGCATCCTACATGAGCACAGATATATATATGTCCACATGTAAGAGGAATGTATATATACCCTCTGTTGAGCCATCTGTTTTCACAGCCCAATCTCAGCTACCTTCAGCTGAAAGCAACAAGAGACTGGGGTGGAAAAAGTCACACGACATCCAGGAAATCAGATTCTTCTTCCAAGTATCCCCCATGCTACTCTTCCGTTGTTAGAGCAATTATTTTCTGTTGGTTTTTGTAATTTTACTGTTTCATCAGAGATTCTACCCTAACCAACCAAGGCAGCCGGTGAAGAGAGATGCCGCTCACAAAAGCATATGACTTTTAATAAAATGTGTTAGTCAGGGAAGGTGCTACCAGATTCCAGATTTTTTGCCATCATAGACTAACGTGGCTCACCTTCTGGTGGAGATTGTAGGGCGATTTTCATAAAAGCAATAAAACGTACAGTACACTCTGAAACCACGGGGTGGGGCGGGGGAGGAGAGGGAGCACTCAAGAGAAAACATGACATCATCCTCAACCCCATCCTCTAAACCTAGAACTACGCCGCCTTCGATCCGATCTAAGTATAGTATATAAAATAATACATTGCAATGTCCTACCTGTCAATGAAAATACTTCAGTTTCAACCACAACAATACAAGAGCACACAATAGATACAAACTCAAGGTTAACCTCACCAAACTTGACTGCAGGAAATACAACTTCAGCAACAGAGCGGTCAATGTCTAGAATACTCTACCTGACTCTGTGGTTTCTTCCCCAAACCCCAAAATCTTTTACCTCAGACTGTCTACTGTTGACCTCACCCCTTTCCTAAGAGGCCTGTAGGGGGCGTGCATAAACGCACCAACCTGCCTACCGTCCCTGTCCTATTGTTTCTTTTTATTTTTCTTATATGTATCCATTTCATGTATTCATAGCTATGTTTTTACTTATACCAATAATCTTGTAAGCAATTGACAAACTAAATAAATAAATAAATCTAGTCATAGAGCACTTTGTTCCAAAATCTCTGCAGAAAAAGAATACGTTGACATCTCTCTTAAATGTTGGGGGTGGGGTGGCTGGGGAACGGGAGCCATCACATTTAGCGTGGAGGGAACTATCGCAGAATGAGGGGCTGCCACTGAGTTCTGCCTCCTGGCCCACAATTCTTAAACCTCTGGGCAGGGGATCAAAATAGGCCTTCCCAGCTGTGTGTACGGGACAGGCAGAATCTACTTGAAGAAGTGGGTTCCGGAAGCAGCCAAGGCCCCAGCATATGATCAATAAAAATAAAGCTCTATTCATTGGTTTTCAGTCTGGAAAAAAAAGAGAGAGAGAGACAAGAGCATCAAAAAGGGGCTGGGGACAGAGAAGTATAAAGTAAACACTTCTTAAAGTTAAATAATAGAACGAAGAGCTGGAAAGGAAACAGTTGGGGGAATAGACAGTCCCAGTTCCTCACAGTATCTTTTTGCTGCAATTTGATTTAATGGCTGCTGGCTGGGGGAAAAAAAAGGGCTGAGGAAGAGAAAGCCCAAAGCAGCTGATCTTTCATTTGAACAGAGGAGACAGGATCATGCCTGAGAGAGCACTGATCTCAGCTGATGCAAGGAAGCAAAGCGCCTCTGTCTTTCAACCCTGCCCTCTAGCAACGGGGGAGAATGGATTTTCTTTTGCAGAAACCCTAAGATGCTTTTCTCCAGAATAGCCTCTCCCCGAAAAAAGGAAGGTGCAAGAGAAACAGGCTAAGCTATGCCAAAGGTGGTTTGGCAGAATGTCCAAGGAGGTTATATCCCTGCAAGAAGAATCATCTTGGAAATTTCCTCCCCCAAATATGGCTTAACATCAACCATGCTATTAGCATCGCTAATGATCTGAATTTCAGTACAATCATGATTTAAACACAATCAAGGAAAGACATTCATTTATAATACAGATTGCAATAAAAAATTGTAATCTATCCATAGGCTGCTGTTCAAATGTATACTGCTTGCTGAAATGCTGAAGAAATACCAAACAAGACCTTTATGCTTTGCGGAAATAGCCTCCAATTTTGCTGCCCCCACGCATTTTCTGGACTTCAAATCTGCACTGCATTTATGAATACTGTGAATTAAGGACTTCTGTCCTGATCTTGTTGCATATAGATGCTTTAAGGAAGAGCAGCCACATACCCCACAGAAACAAATATTACGTATTTTATTCTTCACAAGTATTTTTGTTATAAAGTATGGGAAATACTATAATCAAAAGTCTACTCACACAAGGATGTAAGCATTATCACCACTGCCTGCCTTTGCAAATAGCCACTATTAATAATACAGCTATTATCATTTGCCTTACTGCATTTTATTTCTCTGACCTCACTTTCTCTGATTCTCCTTTCCATTCACACAAGCACACTTACAGATCAGCAAAACATTTCATGCATCTGATAAGGTAGACTGTAATCCCCATAAGACATTTGTCCCAAAGATATATATTTTTTTACAGATCATAGCAATCTACATTTATTTATTTGCAAAGATGACGCAGGTAAATTAAGCTGCTTATTAATATTTGGGATCAATATTTGGAATTGAATTAAATAATTCTGAAATTCACTGCGCGCAACTGACATGCTCAGAAAGACAAGGTCATCCATCAGAATATAGTAGCTAAATGACAAGCTATCAATACACCACACTGATAGTATTTTTTTTAAACTGTTCTTGAATTGAATTTTTTATTGTCATTGTACCTTCACATTCACAGTTTACCTACAACAAAATTCACAACTCTTGTTGCGTTCAGACTCAGTTCTCCTCTCTGTGCACTGGATCTTTATTTTATATAGTTTTTAAGAAGACATTAGACAACCATTTGCCTGAAATGGTATAGTGCCAAGGTTGGAGACCCCTGGTATAGTGTTTCTTACCTGAGCAGAAGACCCTCAGATATAACATGAAAAAGCACATATTCTAAAACAGGGGTCTCCAACCCTGACAACTTTAAGACTTGTTGAAGTCCACAAACCTTAAAAGTTGCCAAGGTTGGAGACCCCTGTTCTAAAAAGTAAGTATTGTGTTCGATTATGGCTTTGGAAATCAGCTCAGGTTCATCTTACTTCTCAGTACCCACTGCGGCTCCAGAAAAGACTGTTGCAGAGTGTGGAGGAAAAGGAACCTCTAGAACTGGTGATATGCGATGGAACGTCATAATGTCATAAAAATACCTACTTTGCAATAATGGGGGGGCACATATTTAAAATAGTAGCCTCTGCTTATTAAGTGAAACTACTGTGGCTCCTTGCAATGTTTTAAAATGGAACAAAACGCCGGAATGACTGGGAAATTGTAAAAAAATACGCATCCTAGCTGTTAATCTCCTGAACATCAGGCAAATGGTTTTCTGTAATGCACTGCTAGCAGAAAGCAAGCATCACATCTTCTAATATTGCCACTGGGACCTTTCCTATCAAATAAGTCTTATCTGAGTGAAGATTTGATTCCAAAGATAATTACTAAGCAATAAAGGTTTGTGGTCTATTTGTTAGGATTTAGATTTGTATCACCTCCAAAGGAATGTTTAACCTAAACTGATCGTGTGCCATCAAGTCGGTATCGACTTTTAGCAACCAACACAGGTTCTCTCCATGATTTGCCTAAACAGCTGTAGTTTCCCCCCCTCTAATCCAACTTTGTATTGTTAAACGAAGCATACTTTATTTTCATCGTACTGCTAGCTGTCAGGAATCTCGCATACAAGGCTGATTAATCCTTGACCACAGCAGCTTACAAAAAAAATCGAATTATGCAGTTTACATACACTACAAATTACCCTGTGGCCTAGGAAGCCACCCCCCTTCCCCAGGATCTTTTAAGATTTGGCTGAGGGTTCAAAACAGAGAAGGTTGTTAGGGAGAATAATGAGGGATGGGAAGGAGCAGAATTGGGTTTTAAAAAATAAAAAAGGGATATACGGCTGGCTCTTGACTTATAACAGTTCATTTAGGGACCATTCTAAGTTACAATGGCATGGAAAAAAAGTGACTTGTGACCATATTCACACTTACAACCGTTGTGCAGCATCCCCATGGTGACATGATTTACATTTGGATGCTTGGCAACTGGTTCATACGTATGACGGTTGCAGTGTCCTAGGAGTCACCCTTTGTGACCCTTGTCAGTGGGGAAGCCAGATTCACTTAACGACCGCCTTACTAACTTAACCACCACAGGGGTTCACTTAACCCAAGGACAAGAAAGGTCGTAAAATGAAGCAAAACAACCTATTTCCCACTTAACCAATATAAAATTTGGGGCTTTGCCGTGGTCGTAAATAGAGGACTACCTGTGCTGTATTATGTGATACGGTACCTCAAGGTCAGCAGTAGGGAAAAAATAAAATAAAATAAGACAGAGAATGAAAAATCGCCTCCCAGGGCACGCAAGCAGCACCCTCCCCCGCCCCCGTTCCTCTCTTTTGACGTTAAGCCGGTGGCTTTTTAACCCTTCCGACTGGAATAAAGAACCCTGCCCAAGCACGCCTGCCAGCAGACAGCATTCCTTCTCCTTGGGGTCCCCGCGGAGGAATAGCAAAGGGAACCCGCACTCCCACCCCCAAAAAAGGGGGAAAAGGGGGGGGTCTCCGGGCGGGCTCCAGCCTCGCTTACCTGCTCCGACCCCTCGTCCACGCTCGCGACGACCCCGGCGTTGCTCCCGGGAAGCCAAAAGCCAGCGGTACGCAAAAAAAAAAAAAGACAAAACAAAGAGGCGTTAAGGGCAGAGACTGCGGCGACGCGTTCTTTTTGGCTGCAGCTCGCCACCGTACAATTTAGACCACGTGGTGCAGGAGAAAAAAAAAACGATTCCGCCAATGCCAGCGCACGGAAAGGGTAATTTTGAACTACGCATGCGCACGCCAGCACGTTTCCCTCCCCCAGGAATTTTTAAAGGAAGGTGAGGCGGACGTTAAATGGAAGTTGAAGTCTCAGAACTGCAAAAAATAAAAAAATCTGTCGACCTTTAGGAGGCAGCGACTTTGCTGCCACCTAGTGGTTGTCCGAATTTTTGCAGGCCAGGTTTGATGGGCTAAAAGTTGTTAAATTGACGAAATAACTGTGTTTGGACGTTGGAAAGCATCGGCGCCGCTTTCTTTTTTTTTTAAACGGGTTGAGGAAGATGATTTGATGTTATTTTTTTTGTAAAGATTATCTTATTTCTCCCACCCTCGGAGTACCTTAGGAACAAGATTTCCCTCCGGTCAACGCTTGGCGCATGCGCAAGAGCGGTGGCTGGCTTGAGACGCCTTTTGCGCATGCGTTATTGGATAGCGTCACTTCAGATCCCTTGACGAGATCCTCTGGTCGCGCGTGCGCAACGAAGTCGAGTCTGGGCAAGCATTGAAGGGGTTGTTATTTTGTTTTGTTTATAAAAAGAGCCGGGCGAGTTAGAATAAACCTGATCGATGCTTTCTCCGCGTTCAAAAGAGAAAGTGCAGATCCGCCGCCGCAGAGAAGCAGCTCCGGCGAGAGGGTAGAGAGGCGCTCGGGCGCATGCGCAGAAGGAACCGCCGCTGGTTAATGGAGGTCGCTTTATGCTAGAGGCTGCTTCTCTTCTTCCCCGTCGCTTGGTAAGCCGTTGGGGGTAAAGCAGCAGCCGAAGTCCGCCGAGCATTGGGGAAGAGCGGGGAGGAAACAGCAAAAAAAGGCCTTCTTATCCCCCCCCCCGCCTTTCCAGGGACCCCAGGCGTCTGTATTGGAGCTAAAGGGAGGGCGAGGAAATGATATTGAGACTTTCAAGAAAAGATTGGACTGCCATTTGTCAGAAATGGTGTAGGTCTCCCGCTTGGGCGGGGGGTTGGACTAGATGACCTACAAAGTCCCTTCCAACTCTGTTAATCCGTTAAAGGATATTCCCTCGTACAGGATTATCACCGACCCAGGGAGCGGGGCGGGAACAAAAACCCAGCCTGGCCGCCTGCACCTCTCTCGGCCTTTGGGAGGATTTTTCAGAAAATGCTCTTTTAAAAGTCCTTCCGTCGGTGGCTAGTTTGGAAGGATTTTTTTTTAAAAAAAATGGGGAATCTGGTTGTTCTTAAAGGGGCCGAAAATTAGCATACACAGGGAGTCCTCGACTTGCACACGGTTGTTCAGTGACCGCTCAAAGCTGAAAAAGATGACTTATGATCACGTTTCAGACTTAACCACCTTTGCAGCATTCCCCCATGGATCGTGTGATCAAAAAATCAGGCGCTTGGCAACTGGTTCATATTTAATGACAGTTGCTGTGTCCTCAGGGGGTCATGTGATCCCCTTTTTGTGACCTTCTGACCAGCAAAGTTGATGGGGAAGCCGGATTCACTTAACAACTGGGTTGCTAACTATCAGTGGCAGTGATTCACTTAACAACGGTGGTGAGAAAGGTTGTAAAATGGGGCAAAACTCTCACTTGCCTCCAGAAGTTGTGAATGTTCCAACACTGGAAGTTTTTTAAAAGATGTTGGATGACCATTTGTCTGAAGTGGTGTAGGGGGGTTTCTTACCTAAGCGGGGTTGGACTGGTAGACCTCCAAGGTCCCTTCCAACTCTGTTATTCTATTCTATACTTAACAAATGTCTCAACAACAGAAATTTTGGGCTGAATTGTGGTAAGTTGAGGGCTATCTGTATTTAACATTTGTGTGGCTTTGTGGCTCTTCTTGGAGCCCGCCAATGTTTTTCCCTTATCATCAGATCTAACATGGATGTCAATCCGGGAGGAAAATGTTTAAGAATATGGCTTTTTAAAAGAAAGCTTTCTATTATATTGCAGATGCTCCTTCCCTCCAACCTAACATCGTTCATTTGGATGTATATAACCCTCATCACTTCTAGCATGCATATTCATTCTTTTTTTAATTTCTTTTTTTTAGTTTCATGGTAACATTGCTGAAGACTAACTTAGAATTTTTTTGAACAACATGTTTACATGAAGGGGATTTGTCCTCAGTCCCTGTTCACTTTCTCTGAAAAGAAGCCTAGCATTTGCTGTAGGTAACTTTTGCCTGTGAGAATATTTTTTTTTAACAAAGGGAGTGAATTTGAAATTGCAAAAAATGAGAAATGTAAGATTTTGACAAAAACCAGTACTTTTGTGGATTGATTAAATTCAATGGCATTGGTCTCGAATCTAAATAAAAAGCAGTATTTCTGAAATACTGAAGAAAGGATGCAGGAAAATTGATGTTGTGACCTAGGACTCTTAAAAGGGGCTGCCTGAAAACTTCCATGTTCACAAATGCCTTTTGCAAAAAGCCAGCATAATGTCAGGATTCAAAATATAATATAATTGTAATTGCTAATCTGACACCTAAAATAATCAAAGATTCAAAATATCCAGGATATATATGATACATATAGCATGTCTGTTCAAAGTAATGGTAAACGTCATTCTTAGTTGGAATTCCTTGTTCATAGCCATAGGAAAGCCATTAATTAAACTTAATTTTTTTCTAAGCTGGCAGGAATAACTAACACCCAAGAAGACAGGCTCAAGATCCAGGTGGATCTTTACAGACTAGAATAGGGATCTCCAACCTTAGCAACTTTAAGACTTGTGGACTTCAACTCCCAGAATTCCTCAGCCAGCTTTGCTGTCAGGAATTCTGGAAGTGGAAGTCCACAAGTCTTAAAAGTTGCCAAGGTTGGAGACCCCTGGACTAGAACACTGGGCTATATCTAACAAAATGAAATTCAATGTAGAGAAAAGTAAAGTCCTACACTTAGGCAAGAAAAACCAAAAGTACGCATATAGACTGGGTGAAATCAGGCTCAATAGCAGTAACTGTGAGAGGGATCTTGGAGTCTTAGTGGATAACCAGCTAAATATGAGCCAGCAGTGTGCAACAGCAGCCAAAAGAGCTAATGCCATCCTAAACTATTAACAGAGGGATACAATCAAGATCAAGGGAAGTACTAATACCACTCTATAAAGCCTTAGTAAGACCACAGCTAGAGTACTGCATCCGGTTTTGTTCACCACATTGTAAAAAAGAGTTGAGACTACAAAAAGTACAGAGAAGAGCAACCAGGATGATTAGGGGACTGGAGACAAAATATGAAGAACAGTTAGAGGAATGGGCAAAGAGAAGGACCAGGGGAGACATGATAGCAGCCTTCCAATATTTGAGAGGCTGCCACAGAGAGGAAGGGGTCAAGCTATTTTCTAAAGCACCTGTAGGCCAGACAAGGAATAATGGATGGAAACTGAACAAAGAGAAATTCAACCTGGAAATAAGGAGAAACTTTCTGACAGTGAGAACAATCAACCTATGGAACAGAAGTTGCCCTCGGAAGTTGTGGGATCGCCATCCCTTGAGACTTTCAAGAAGAGATTGGACTGCCATCTGTCAGAAATGGTGTAGGGTCTCCTGCTTGGGCCAGGGATTGGACTAGATGACCTACAAGGTCCCTTCCAACTCTGATTATCTGTTAAATCTGTTAATCATTGAACTCTTATTATTAATATCTTTGCAAATAATATGACATTTGACCCTCTTTGTTAGTCATTGTTTTTATACATGAAGGCATGATATATCTTTTTCTTTTCAATACTGAGGTACTGAGAAAAGTACTGGCCACAGGTCACCCAGCTGGCTTTGTGCCTAAGGCAGGGCTAGAACTCACAGTCTCCCAGTTTCTAGCCTGGTGCCTTCATCACTACACCAAAGTGGTTCTTAGCTGATTATCTGGCTTCAAAATCAGACAAAGGAGCAGGTCTAACCAAAAACCCATCTCTCTCTACCTTCCTTCTCCATCTATTGGAGGATCTATCATAACTTTGGTGGACCAGAATATATGCTGATGAAGTTCAGTACTATAAATAATTGTTACTCATTTTCTTTCTGCCATTTCTCCCTCTTCCCTTTTCTTTCCTAAGTGAAATAATTCCGGTGTGTGCAAAAGGCTCCCATTCAGCGTGTTTATGTGAACTGCACATTAGAAATTTTTCTCCTTTGCTGTGGCAAGAAGCCTCATTTTTTCCCCCTTTCTTTGTAGTGGTAAAAATCTCTTTCCTCTTTCTGTATTGTCTCTAATTAAACATCATGTAAATTGGTCCTTGATATGTTCCCACTTCTCTGAACTTGTTTTATGTGTCTGTTTCTAATTGAATTAAATGTGCTAAATGTTTAACCATTTACATTTGATGGTCACATATACAAATGTTAATGAATGTTATTGATTGGTTATTAATTTTATTTTGGATTTCTGGAATTTATATGCTTTTAATATCCTGTAGTGTTATGGTCCTGAGAGAATTGGTTCTGTGGGAAGCCTCAGTTTGTTACCCACTCGATCATGCTAAATATAATGTCATCATCGATCATACGACAATGATGTTATATTTAGCATGATCGAGGTGAGTTACAAACTGAGGCTTCCCACAGAACCAGTTCTGTCAGGACCATATATATAACATATATTCACAATTGCTGTGAGAAAATAATTAATTTGGGGGGGGATTAAATGCCTTTCTACATGTTTTCTTCCTCTAATGCTCTTGATATGCAGTCAAGAGCAATGTTACTGAATTTAGATTTAGAGTTTAGATAGTGCTCTAAACAAAGTAGTTTATTCAGTGTAAACCAAGAGTTCCTACAACTCTTACTTTCCATTCCATGTGGTTTATTCTTCTTACATAAAAAACAGCTCTGCTGAATTTAAATAAGTCTGAGCTTGAATAGTTGATGATTTAGAAATCTTACTTAGACCTGTTTTTTGTGAAAGCTATAGGATAAAGAGATGTCACTGGCGAACGCATATTAAATTTCCTCACCTTTAGTTTCAGAGTCAAGATGGCCTCCCAACGGTTGACACGGGAGTCTTTCGATGCAATCATGCAGGTCAAGGCAAAACGATATCTGGACCGAAGTGATCCAATTGATGAGGCGCTTCATCAACTTAGAGGTAGCACTGATTGTACAAATTTACTTATTTATTTACTAAATTTATTTGCTGCCTAACTCGTCACGGGGCTACGCTAGGCGGCTTACAATAATAAAAAGGAAGGCGGGGGGGAAAGGAGTGGAAACAGAAGTAAAATAATAGACCCATAAAATAAATATTATGAAAAAGGAACACAATGGGAATACAATAACCAAAAAGCTGGACAGGCAGAGAACACAGTGCAAGGGGGAGGGAGGGGGAGTCTGCTATCAATTTATCAGCCACCTCTAGTATAGAATTCATCTGGTCTCCAGGCCAACGGGCAGAGCCAGGTCTTTTAGGCTCCTGTGGAAGGATAGGAAGGTTAGGGGCAAGTTTTACCTTAGAGACAAGATATTCCAAAGGATGAGCATTGCAGCAGAGAAGGCTCTTCTTCTTCTGGGTCCTGAGAGTTGGAGTTCTTTGACTGACGTGATTCGAAGTAGACCTTTCCAATTTTTATAAAATCAACGACTGCCACGTATTTGGGACTTTGAGAAGGAGTGTGATCATGCTCTTCTCCTGATGGTGCATTTTCATAGGCATCTTATTTATTCAGATTTATGCTGCTGTCCATCTTACACACACACACATAACAGAAAGAGAGAAGTGTGTATGAGAGAAAGACTATGACCAGTTTACAAGCAAAACATATAAAAATACAACACTTTAAGAACTATAAAGCTGTATTAAAAAGAATAAATACATAAGACTCACAGCTATAATCTCATTCACCACAACAATCGGCATAGCCGCTGCACTGGCACCATCACACTCCCATGTCCCCTGTTGACAAAAAGTGGCTTTACCTTCATTAGAAATATTATTTTTTTGAAAATTTTTTATTGATTTTTAAGAACAAACATAAACCAACAAATCATAAAACATCTTTTTTGAAAGTGGCATGATCCCAGGTTACATCTCTTCGTACAGACTCAAATTCAAGTTCATGTTCATTTTTATATTCCATTTCATATCTTATTACTATTCTACATTTTCTATATAGCTTCTCCCCTCTTTTAACTTCCCTAATTTAATTTTATTTATTCCATCTCAATTCAAATCGTTATATTTATATTCTTTGTCTGTCCTGTTTCAACTATCTACTATCTTTTCTCATTAAACAAAATTTCTCCTGTAATCACTGATTGGAGTATGACGCCTTTATATCTTTCCCCTAAAATTATAACACTTAATATAATACATAACTTTCATTCAGATTCTGCTTGGTACACTCTAAAGCTACACACTGTATTTAAAAAAAAGAAAAAAAATATAAATGTATAATATAATTAAAACAACAATCCATTCCAATTCAATTCTATCATTAATATTAATATTCATTTAAATCTTAACATTTTACACATTACTTTTCAGATAGATATCATATTCCTACAGGAACACTTACAAACTTTCCATAGTTAGTTCCCCCCCACATCACTTATATTTTATAAAACATTGAGTAATTAAAATGTTCCTGTTCCTTCTTAATTCAATTCTCATTTATTTTATTTCATTTATTTTGTTCACAAAAGTTTCACTAAGTTACACTGACTATTTTATCCCTGTTTTTAATCATATGTTGTTTCCCAATTTTCTAAGATTATTTCTATTACAAATATAACAATACAATCTTATGTACCTTCACAGAATCCCTTTTTCAGTTAAATTTTCACCCATTATCTCTGAATAGGTCCTGTTTCTTTACATCTTGCTCCAAACCTTTGTAACTTCTCTTCCTTTCCTTGTTCCCTTTCTTCTTTTCTCTCCCCTTTGTAGCTCCCTGTCTCTCCACCTCCATTTCCCTCTTCTGTATTCCCCTTTTCTGTTGCTTTCCAACATTATATCCACTTTTCAAATTATTATTCATTAGTAATATTTAATGTTCCAGTAGAATACAGAGTTGCATGATGTAGTGCAGGGATGCCAAGCTTGATTTCATTGAGGGTCACATCAGGGTTGTGTTTGACCTTGGGGTGCCGGGGTGGGCATGGCCAGCTCAATGTCTCTCGTGTCAGGGGCACCAATGGTGGCCCAAGCGCTCTGCCAGAGAAAACAGGCTCCCGAGCTCCGTTTTCGGCTGCAACAGCCTCCTGCAACCTTCTGCTAATGAAAACAGAGCTCAGGGGGGTTACACACAGCCTGTCAACTCATAAAGAATTCCTATGCCTGTTTTCGAGTTGCCATAAGCAGTTGGGGGGGGGGGGAACCAGAAGTGCATTCCACGCATATCTTACAAAGATTGTAGCTAGGCTACCGGATCTTCTGCCCACAAAAATCCTTCATTGGAGAATGTAATTGATGATGCCTAGCTGGTGAATGTGCTTCGTTGGAGAATCTGATTGATGACACACCCAGGGAAGAGGGAGGAAACAGGGTCACAGGTGACTGTAGATCATGTGTGTCAGAGTTGGCTTCAACTGTGATAATGCTGATATGTTGCTCCTCATAAATCTTTTAGGTTCTTTTGAAGCTTGGCTCGAGGCTCATGATTTAATTAGGGCAATCGCTGGAACCCTGACACAGCCATCCTGAGCTCCGTTTTTGCTGGCAGAGGCACTGCGGGCCAGTCCTTCGCTGTTTCCAGGGTGGCCCCACGGGCCAGATCGAAGCAACCTGTGGGGCGGATCTGGGCCCCAGGCCTTGAGTTTGACATCCCTGATGCAGGGGTGGCTCATCCTTTTTCAACATTTCCAAATAGGATGGTTGTATTAAAGCTCAGTGCCTCTATAAACAGCGGCTGTCTTTTGTTTCTTCATGCAGTTCACTCGCGGCCAGTCACACGGGCCCAGTACGACGAGGAGGAGGAAGAATTTCAAGACGGTGGGAAGTTCATGCGGGCTGACTGGAGGAAAGACACTAGAAATGAATACTCGCTGCCTTCCTATAGGTCCAGCAGCCACGTCACAGAGGAGGAGGATTACTTTGCCAAAAGTAGCGCCAAACTCTCCTCACAGAATCGGGACTACAGCCAGCTAACTTCATACGAACCAGACTATGGAAATTCGTCGGCCGTGGAAAGAGATTATGCTGGCCCATCTTCCCGAGATCGGGACTATGACAACGCTGCCTCAAGGGAACGGAAATATAGCCACACTCCCATTCGAGACCCTTCCAGACGCCGTGAGGCTGACTTTGATTCATCAGAACTGTTGGGCGACTTCAGATCAACACGGCTTCTGGAGGAGAATTACAGGACTGCCTGTAGTCAGAATTATGATCTGGAGCATGGCCTCGAGACGGAGGGAGAATTCAGCTCCGCTTTGAATGCTGGGAGGGGAAGAGGTCTCCCAGGGAAACGTGGGATGGCCACTAGAGGCCTAGTCAGAAGTAAAGAGGAGCTGACCGCTCACCTCAAGAAATGGGCCACTAAGGCTTTGTCCCCAGCAGATGATCTTCTGTTAAATCCTCTGGGTCTTGCCAAGCCACGAACGATACCTTCTCTTCACCCTCCACAAATCCAAAGGCCAGGTCTGGCCTCTCTAAAGGGTCTACAGCAAGAGGGAGCTCTGAAACCTACAGGGTACCTCCGGATCAAAGAGCCCGACTTAGAACTTCTAGATTCTTCGGATATTTTTGCCAATTTTGGGGTTGAAATCATCAAATGGGCTGGGTTCTATGAAATTAAGAGAGACCCGGAGTATGCAGAACTTTTCCGTTTGCTCTTCACGTTAGAGACAGAGACCTGCGCCAAAATGCTGGCATCGTTTAAGTGCTCGCTGAAAACGGAGCACCAAGATTTCTGTATGAACAGCGTTAAGACGCTGCAACACCCAGCTCTGAGAACCCCTAAAGTGGACAGCCAGTTTCTGAACCTGCTGTTGGAGAAAAGGGTGATGGTGACCAAGAATAGTTTTTTTGAGGTCATTAAGCCTTTCGACCGGTACATGATGCGGCTGCAGGACTACCTGCTCAAGAGCACTACGCCTCTGCTGATGGCCTGCAACGCCTATGAGCTCAGAATCAAAACTAACAGCTTCAGTAACACAGGGAAGATGGCCGCCGCTTTTCAGACTACGATGTCCCTCTGCCGGAAATCCTTGGCCCTCCTGGGCCAAACCTTCGCTCTGGCCTCTGCCTTCAGGCAGGAAAAAATCCTGGAGGCCCTCAGCGTCCAGGATTCGGCCCCTCCTCCTACCTTATATCCCAATTTTGACACTTCTGCCTTGTTTGGGAAAGAATATATAGAAACCTTGCAAAGTTGGTTGGAGAAAAGTGGCTGCCAGATGCAGTTAAAGAGATCAGCTGCCAGTCCTCCAGCTCAGGGTCAGTGGAATATTCATGTAAATCACACTTAAAATTAAGTGGGGATCTTTTTTTAGTATGTGAGCAAGTAGGAATTCTGCCTTTCGTTTTATCTCTGTGAAATACACTAGGTTGAGGAACAAAGCCTATCTCAGAATGAGTGGAAATTAAAACCCAGGATCTTCTCAGAAAAAAACTCAGAAATACAGTACCACTGGGTGCTGGGAAATAGGTCTGCTGACTAAACGTGAGGAGAGGTTTAGAAAAATGATGTGACAAAATAAGATTATTGTTAAGGACTATCCCCCCCCTCCCCCCGGGCAATTCAAAATATAATTATATGTAATACTCTTCTATCCAGGAGTCTAGAAATAACTAGATTTTTTTTTTTAAAGACTAAAAAGATTAATCAGGGAACATTCTAAATAAAGTCCTTTGAAATCTCTGTAAAGCATTTTATATATTGAGGTTGTGGCCTGTGGCACAAAGTCAGACTCTTCTGTGCTCATAATCCACACATTTTTATGATACAGAACTAAATGGAATACATAAAGTGATCTTGCTCACTTACCAGCGATAACCTTAATGAGAGCACTTTTGATTAGTTGGAAGATATCAAGTTGCCATCTTAAATTGTTATTGTGACTTCTATTTTTTTTCTCCCCCTTTTTTGGTACTTGTTTGCATAGCCTCACAACGTGCTGATAGGAAAGTTGTTGAGACGATTGAAAAGCTAGTGAATACGATGGTCTCCGGCACATTAACAGGGAAAGAGAAGGCTGAACTGAAACACAACCCGGAGTATTGGTATTTATCTTACTTGTTTCTTGTCTTTGGACCCTTCAAAGTGCTTGGAGGCAATATCTAGCTCCAATTTTATCATGTCTTTGTGATATTCTACAAGGTAAGTTAGAAAATAAATGTCTGGTTTAAGGTGTCCTGTTGTATTCAGGATTGACACGTGAGTACGCTTAAATAAAAGCAAATAAATAGAGAATCCTAAGGCATGGTTTTCAACTTGCTGACTGGGGAATTATGGGATGTGAAGTACATAGATCTTAAAGTTGGTCGAGGCTGAGAAACAGTGATTTTTATAGTCACCCAATGAAAATGCTGTGGTTGGGGAACAATGAAGTCATTGTTGAAGAATGACTCTGCTTTGTGGCCATGTCTGTGCCTGATAGCATTGTCTTGGAGGATTAATGGTTGCTAACTACTCCCCTGCATTCAGACAAATGCTAAGCCACAACTTTTTTACACAGTATGGGTTAGCGTGGTGTACCTGGGTTGTTTCTCTTCTTAAGTCTAGCATTCTCACTTTGGGTGTTGCCTGCCACTGTTAAAGAAACTGGCTTCAGGGAGGTGGTCCCTGCTCACCAAGAAGGGTGATTTCTTTTTTTAAAAAGTGTCCTCTTGGGCAAGGTTAGTTGATGTGTGTCTACAGACCCTAGTTGAAGGAGTTGTTCTCTTGTCCCAAGTGGCAAATTTCTCCTTTGGGAAGTTACAAATTCTGACCGAAATTGTGAATTATACGGTTTTCCCTTGTTTGTGAAAAGTAAGAAGAATTGGAGACACTGATATCTCTCAAGGATAGGGAGCTCCATAAAATGGGGGCTACCTCAAAATGGGTTTTATTCATACCCATGTCTCTTGCAAGGAATGGGGCACCCTCAATAGGCTTCTGATAGAACCAATTTGTTTTCACGGCATCCCAGCTCCTTTTGTGCGAGGTAACTGTTGGTGTTGCCTAGGTTGTTCTAAAACATCTGTCAGAAAACAATCCAGCTCAGAGAGCGCCAAGGACTCCTCAGTTTTGAGATAGCCAGGAGTCCACGCTTGATTATGAGGGCTCTCCCCTTGGATGAAAAGAAGGGAGTGGTGGCGCAGTGGTTTAGAAGGCAGTATTGCAAGTTAGCTCACTGTTCCCTGTCAGCAGTTCGATTCCGACCAGCTCAAGGCTGACTCAGCCTTCCATCTTCCCGAGGTCAGTAAAATGAGGACCCGGTTTGTTGGCGGGGGGGCAATAGGCTGAGTCTGTGAACTGCCTGGAGAAGGCTGTAAAACACCTCTGAAGCGGTATATAAGTCTAAGTGCTGTGCTAGATGAGCCTTTGGAGGACAAGTGAGTATTCTTTGCATGTACAAGTGGGGGAAGCAGGAACAGCGGAGTGGAATGAGGGAAAACGTGTTTGCAACAGGAGGGACAGACGGGTAAGAGGGCAGAAAGAAGGGCAAAAAAGATCAAGGGCAACGGGTGGAAATCTGGAGAAGATTTTGCAGCTTTCTTTGATTATTTTTCCATCCCCCTCAAAAAAACAGGTTTCTCCTTGAGGAGGAAAGCCTCGAATACAAGTACTACAAGCTGAAGCTGGATGAGACGGAGAGGCTGATGTCTGCAGCCAAGGAAGAAACCAAAGACAAGAAGACCTCTGAGCAGCAAATCTCAGAAGTTGTGAGGATCCTTTTGTACAGGAGGAAAGTAGCGAGGATCAAGAAGAACCTCTTTCAGAGGAGAAGGCCTGGGATCCTGCAACGAGCTGTGAGGGCCAGAAGAGCCAAGAAATCCACCACCGGAACCCAGACGCTCTTATCTGCCGGGTCGGTGCTGAAGCAGCAAGCACCGACACACACACCCATGTCCAGTCCCGACAGGGACAAATCCGACGGTGATCAAGAAGAGATGCTGTCCCTAAAGGAAACTTCAGGAGAAACGGACTTGCTGAGGCTTTCCGAAAATTCCCCGTCTTTGATGAGCCAATTCCCTGACGGTAGGTGAAGCCAAAGAGGAGCAACGCTCTCAGGAAGGGCCATGAACAATTTAAGTCAGTGTTTCTCAACCTTGGCTGCTTGAAGATGTGTCGGCTTCAAATCTCAAAAGTCACCAGCTAGCAAAGAATTCTGGGATTTGATGTCCACACATCTTCAAGGGGCCAAAGTTGAGAAACACTGATTTAAGTGATTTTTCTGTCTAGCGCAGAATAATGCAACCTGAAGGTCGCAGGGTTATGTGCAGCTGCCCAGCAGTCTTCAGTATGATCCCAAGGCCTTTGGAAGTTCTTACAAATTGTCATCTTTATTTTTATTTTTTGAAATAAACTTTATTATAGTTTTCCAACAATTTAAAAACATAAAAAACCCAATTTCATCAACATTAAAGGCATCATTTACATATCTTAACCATATTCTTATACTTAATTTTCTATTACAATTATGGCATATTACTTTTTTCTATTAATTCTCTATTACTTACTCCTTATTTATACCACTTGTTACATAATATATTTTCTGTTAAATCTATATTCGGTATATATAACTTCATAATTTTAAATAATTACAGTATTACTTTTCTTTCTGTTCTCAAACCATATATACCATGCATCCCAGACTGAACAATACATCGATTCCACTCTAACTTTTAACTCTAGAGTCAGCCTGTCCATTTCTGCGCACGCTAGAATTTTCCTTATCACTCCTTCCTCTTGTGGTATATCTCCCTGTTTCCAGTGCTGTGCGTATGTAATCCTAGCAGCAGTTGTTATATGTAGAATAATATATCTGTCAGTCTTGCTATAGTCTCCCTTAATTATGCCTAATAGGAACAGTTCTGGTCGAAATTCAGTTTTTTGCTTTGTTATTTCTTGTAACCACTTTTGAATCTTACTCCAATATTTTTTGCTGGAAATGCAAAAATAAACAGGGTACATACTTTCATATGTGGTGGACCTGCCCGGATACGAATTGTCATCTTTTAACGTGAGAAAATTGTGAAATAGAATCCTTTCATATATGGTATTTACCCTGGGCATTTTACGACTACCAGGCCACATCCATCTCTTGAGCTGTTCCTGTCCCCGGTCCATGTGAATTGCTTTTACTTTGAAAGCAACTGCTATTTTTAGTTTCAATTTACGTATGTCCATGTGTACATGCCCCTTACACCTTCACAGCCCTATTGGCTCAGCCCTCCACAATAGTCCCAGTTTCTCACGCCGCCCCTTGGGAAAATTAATTGCTCACTCCAGATTGCTGATATCAGTTTACGGAAATATGAAACGCCTGAGCATTTCTGACAAACGGCTCCGTAACCTCCACTTGAAAAGGGGAGCTCATCCCATCCGGGTCATTTCTTCTTCTGCTCAAGCTGTTATTGTTAGGAAGCCTTTTTTAAAAAAAAACATTTAATCACACTTTGCCTTCCTGTAACTGAAGGCATTCCATGTCCTACGCTCAGGGCTTCTAAAGAAGATAAATCTTTTCTTCTGCGTGACATCCTGACCGTATTTGAAGATCGTTGCTACATTCTCAGCGTTCTCTATTGCTGCACTTGCCTTTTAGAACATAACCCCAGAAATTCTGCTTAATCTCAACTGCGATGGCCTTCCATGAGGAATTGAAAACATTGCTGTTTTCCTGGCATTTTTTTTTAATAATTACAATAATTCCATCTTTCATTCATACAGTGTGTCGACTGGGTACATATATCTGGTGCTAACCATCACAATATGTTTTAACCAATATAACAGTCACATTTACTTTGTAAATCATAAATCAATTCCTCTTATATTAATTATCTTTATAACCATCTTCACTAATTTCTTTGTATATTCATCTACTCAATTTTAACTTGTTTTATTTTCTAACCGTTTATAAAATAAGTCCCATATATAATATTCAGTTTCTTCTTTTTCTTTAATTTCCAGTGTTAATCTATTCATCTCTGCACATTCAAATATTTTCTCAAACACTTTTCCCTCTGCTAGTATTTTATCATTTTTCCAATTCTGCCCAAATACAATCCTGGCATTATGATAGGGTGTTTAGTGAGCTTGTTTTTCAAGGGGATGTGCCCTAGTAAGATGACTTTTGATTGTTCTTGTTGCTGATATTAATTTTTGCTCACATTTCATTACTCGAGGCCCCATGCCGAGTGGGCATCTTAAAATAGTGAATGCATATAAAATAAATAATGGCTTCCCTCTCAAGCCATTCAAGTATTCAGTTCAGGCTTGTGTTCCAGCAGTTTGGTGTGACCTCTTGACCAACAGTGGAGGGAAACTGTGGCCCTCACTGACCCTGTAAAGCAGAGCAACCCAAGGGAATATGACTGGCTGTTTTACTCCTGTGTGGATTCTCCACTTAAGGTGGCGTGAAGTCCAAGGCCATTGGTCAGGGGTTGTCTTGCCTCAGCAAAGGTCTTGCACATCTACAACTCCACTGGGTGAACTGATAGCATAGTTAAATAGAGCCCATTGCAGAATGCCTACAGAGCCAGTTGGGCAAATGCATTCAGCATAGCAGTTCACTATCACTCTGATGGTGAAATACCGGTAGTCCTCAATTTATGACCTCAAGGGAGCCCCAATTTTTTGTGGCTAAATGAGACCTTTGTTAATTTTGCCCCGTTTTACGACCTTTCATTGCCACGGTTGCTAAGCAAATGATTGCAGTTGCTATGTTAGTATCATGGTTGTTAAGATATCATTCACCTACGGTTTTGAATGATAAATTATTGTAATGTTGTATGTTGTAATATTCAGCCAATGATCTCTTCCCAAGAGGAAACACAACCAGCTAGGCCTCAGTCCTATGCAAGCTGAACGTGGGAGACTCCCAAGATTATTTCACAAAGTGCTCATGGCTGAAATATGGAGTTCTGAACCATGAAATGTCTAATCAAGCTGGATGGCTTTAAAAGGAGATTGGAGAAGATTGGAGAAGGCTAAATATGGAGATACAGGACTCTTGACTATGCAGGCAGCCCTCGGCTTACGAACCACAGCCAAGCCCAAAATTTCTGTTGTTTAATTGAAACATTTGTTGAGTGAGTTTTGCCCCCTTTTACGACCTTTCTTGCCGCAACTCTTAAGTGAATCTCTGCAATTGTTGAGTTGGCATCGTGGTTGCTAAGTGAAGCTGGATGGACTTTTGCTTATCAGAAGGTCACAAAAGGTGATCACTGTCAGGATTCCGGCAGTTACCCCCATTTAAATCATAAGTCTCAAGCCAAACTTCCAAAGTTTTAAAAGGATTTATTGGGAATTAAAATGTCCAGCACTGCCTCGGTGTAGCCGACTCTTAGACACATAATTCATTGTCACCCTGGTCTTCCCTCCATCCCTGGGTGTATCATTCATATTCTCCAAGGGGACACATACATAGCCAAGAGTCATCAATCATGTTCTCCAGCTAGACCCCGGGACAGTGCAACCGTCATAAATGCATGCTAGTTGCCAAGCGTCCGGATTTTGATCCCATGACCATGGGGATGCTACAACGGTCGTGCGAACAATGAGCATAAGTCACTTTTTTCAGTGGCCTTGTAACTTTGAATGGTCACTAAACAAACTGTCGTAAGGCAATGACTCCCTGCATCCCTATACTGAGTAGAGATAATATCCCTCTGGGGAAGCCTTTTTAGCCAGTTTCATCACTTGAAGCTTCCCGCACACTCTGGTGTGTCTCTATTCATTGTGCATCATTCAGAGCTGCATCCTTTGGGCCTTGTGCTATACTGGCCCATGTACAGCTTTTGCAGCCTCACTGTGACTACCATCAGGTCCAGAGGTGGTATTCAGCAGGTTCTGACCAGTTCTGGAGAACCGGTAGCGGAAATTTTGAGTAGTTCAGAGAAGCGGTAGTGGAAATTTTGAGTAGTTTGGAATACTACTTCTGACTGGCCCCAACCCCATTTCTTCTCTGCCTCCCAAGTCCCAGCTGATTGGCTGGGTCTTCTTTTGTTGCCCTGCACAGGAGAACGGAGCTGGAAAGCAGGTTAGTGGGATGGGGAGGGAATGGGGATTTTTGCAGTATCCTTCCCCTGCCACGCCTACCAAACCACGCCACACACACCAAGCCATGCCCACAGAACCGGTAGTAAAATTTTTTGAATGCCATCACTGACCAGGTCACATAAAATTAACTGGCGTGCAAAAAAAGGGCCATATTTATTATTTACTAAACAAATTCATCTGGCCACCCAACTCACACATAGGTGACTCCAACCTTAAAAATCCAGGATGTTAAAAACCCCTTTAAAGCACCCGCTACTACCCCAAATGCTCCACACCTGCTTTAAATTAATGGGGACCCATGAGATCGAGGTTAAATATCCAGCAATGCTTAATGTACGAATGAAACTGCCAGGGTTCTTCAGTTACTAAGCATGCTTTCAGATCTTCAGATAGGCCAGGTCTGAACCAATGAAGGCAGCAGTGGCTAAAGGCCAGCCAGCATTCTGTACTTTTTTTTTTCCTGTCAACTGATAATAACTGCAAATAGTATTATATCTTCGAAACCAGTTATACACAACATGTCCTAAATCATTATTCCACCCTTCATCTGAAGTAGGAATGTTAATGTCCTATCTAATTAATTTTCATACTTTCTGCTGCTGTCAGTTGAGTCGCTACAGTGACTTTGCTCATTCGTTCCATGTCACGGAGCTTCTTTCAGGATTAACTGTGCTCAGGAGGATAGTCTGACTGACTGTTTCAGATGTTCATGTTATGATCCAGAGAGTTACAAACACAGCACAAAAAATCATCAGTTATTCTCTTTCTTATTTGGAAGAGATTGTGAAGACCAAACTCCTCTAGAGCACTAAAAATCTCCACCGTTCTCATCCTGGTCATTCATATTTCAAACTGTTACCATCAGGGAGACATTATAGGTGTCTTAAAATGAGGACTAATAGACTGAGAAACAGTTTCTTTTCCAAGGCAATAATTGTCTTGAATCAAACAGTGCATTTGTGATTTAGTCCTATGTATATAGTGGCATTTTAAAACTATTTAACTTACTAAATGTTTTAGATAGGTTTTAGACTAGGTTTTTAATTATTATTATCATTATTTTAATTATTTTAATTTTTAAATACTCTGTTGTATGATTGTGATGTGGTGTTTGGGGCAGTGTGCTGGAGTTGCTTTCAAATTTCATTGTATTCGTGGAATGCAATGACAATAAAGGTATTCTATCTATAAAGGTATTCTATTCTATTTATGCCCACATTTTGTTCTAGTAAACAAATAGAATAGAATAAAATTAGAATTAGAAGAGTTGGAAGGGACCTGGAGGTCTTCTACTCCAACCCCCTCCTTAGGCAGGAAATCCTATACCAGCAGTGGCTAACCTTTTCGGCAATGGGAGCGTGCAAGGGCACGCCGGAAGGGCAGCTCCCCGACACGCATGTGGGAGTGCCGGCAACCGGAAGTTTAGCTTCCAGGCATGCACATGCGCACCGGCCACCAGGTCTTCTGGTTTCTAACACGCAGACGTGCGTGAAGACCAGCTGGCTGGCGCACGCATGCGCTCCAGGGAACTGCTCTTCCGGTTGCCAGCATTCCTGTGTGCGCAAAGATCAGCTGGCCAGCACGCATGCGTGTGCTGGAACCTAGAAGAGCAACAGGTGATGGCTGGCGTGCCCAGACAGATGGCTCTGCATGTCACTTCCGGCATACATGGCATAAGTTCGCCATCATGGTCTTATACCATTTCAGACAGATGGTTGCCCAAACTCTTCCTAAAAACTTCCAGTGTTGAAGTGCCCACAACCTCTGGAAGCAAATTGTTCCACTGTTTAAGATACACACAAACACACACACACACACACACACGCACGTCACAGTCATGTAATCACATTTTGAGGGCTTGACTATGGGCACACCTTTGCAGCATCCTGTGATCATCTGACTGATTTTTTTCCCCTATGTTCTGCTGGCTTTGCTGGTTTACTTGCAACTTCCAGCACAAATATCCGTTGGGTAAAATGGATTCCCTTAATGACTGCCACAAACGATGTTGTAAAAGCAGGTCAGGTCACATGGTGAAATGCTTAAGAACTGCAATGATTTACAGTGATAATTCCGGGCTCCCTTACAGTCATAACTCGAGGACCACCTGTACACAATTGTGTTATGTACCGCCATATTTTTTTGTTTTTGCTTTCTTTCAACTTGAAGAAACAGACAAAACCAAGAAGGTTCAGTCTCAGGCTGAAGTTGCCAGGCATAGAGTGAGCGACAGATGAATCTCCTTGTGATGACCCAGACTATATCAGAACTATAACAAAAACCAAAACGTAACTAAAAGTCTTTATAATGCCTTCAGCTTGGCTTCACTGTTAAATTGTTCACAGTGGAGGAGAAAACTATTTTCAAAATTAACATTTCAAAGGAAAGAAACACAGTTCACAGTCAAAGAGCCAATAACGAAGCAAAAGCCAAAAACAAACCGCATTGAATAAAGTTCCTCAACAGACCAGGATAGATAATTGCCAGCTTCAGGAAGATAACCAGGGACAATCCGTTGGAAGAACACCAACCAAGATAAACTTTCTTTAGGAATAAAACACTAATTTGTCTCCAGCGTCTGTTAGCACACAGGTCCAAACTCTTATGCAGATCTCACACCGGCAACCCATGAAGAGGATCAAGGCCCTCTCCTCCCCAGTAGACCACGTCTCTCCCTTATCCTCTCCTCCCTGCTTGCCCTAGGATGGAGAGGGGATGGGCCTGGGTCCTCCTCTGACTGTCCAGCAGGCCTCTGCCCTTCCCCAGCCTCCTCCACAACCTCCGGAGCCACACTTCCTGTTGGCTGTTCCTCCTCTCCCTCATAGTCCGTCTCCGCCAGGGGCCTGACACCTCCGCTTTTATGATTGTGATCATCATGCCCACAGGAGATGCAGGAAAAGAGCAGGAGGATTGGAGAGTGTTAGGGATACACCCTAGCAGAATCTGCACAGCAGGCAGGCAAAATATGTGAGATAAACATTTTTGTAGCTTACACTCAGTAAAATAGATACACCGTGCTAGTTAAATAGTTTATTCCAGTAAGAGTTATAGCATAGTCAAAAAACAGTCCGTATATCATTCACTAGTTCAGTCTGTCCGGGGATTATTCAGTTGCAAAGTTCAGTGTTGAAAAAGAGAGGTCAGTAAACTTACAAATATCAGTCCAGTAATATATCTCCTCGCAGTAGAGATATGAAGAAGTCAAACCACCTTTCTTCCTCCAACGTTCAGCAACTCAGCAGTAGGGAAACACGCAGTTAACAAACCCATCAATCCATCAAACCAGTAATCGTCAGCAATCGTCAGGTTCTCTTGCTCCCTCTTATGGCGGTTCAACACCGCACCCAAAATTACATGCTTTGCAGTTTAAAGTGACACACACTTAAACTTACTATCATAGTTTATATATATTATTTTACCCAAACTACGTTAGGTAACCTATGTTATTCCTAACAGAGATCATCAATGCAGATGAGCTTTTGCTCTGTTACGGTTCAGCCAACTCAACCTTTTGCCTTTTTTGTCCAAAACATACCAGTATCTGGCTGCATTAAGCAATCAGACGTTCAATCAGGGTTTGAATGATGTACCAAAACATGCCGAAGGTATGCTCGCCATAGTAATAGATCGTAGATTACAGCTTGGCTGATTGGGTGATAAATAGACTACAGTGGTACTGCCTGCCAAACCCCTTTCACAGCTTGGTGCCTGATGGAAATGCAGTCCACGTTTTTCCGGTGCAGCTGTGCACTTAACATAATTTTTTTTTTTTAAGAACCATTAGATTCTAAACGGCTCTCATTCTCAATCATCTCAACATAATTGTTAATCTGTTCTTCAGAAATTTACATTTAGTTGATTGACGCACCATCTGAATCAGATTTTTCCACATATTGCAGATATGGGGAGCCACTGAACCTTGGAGAAAGGTCCCCCCCCACACACACACAACAGCCTTGCGTAAGTGCATAGTAGAGGACAGGTTCCTGATGAAGGAAGAGTCGCGGCTGAGTAGTACAGCAAAAGTTCTACTACGTGCCGGTTTTCCCAAGCTCAGTCTTCGGGATTTTTTTTTTTACCTCAGGGAGTAATGGTTAAAAACAGATGAATGTGATTTAATTCATTTGGCCTTTTGCTGGCATTCAAAATAGGACGGTATTGATAGTGCCTCTACATGTGCTGTTTCCTTGCAAATAAAAAAAAAAAACCCATTTCCTGGATGGTTTCTTTCTCTTGTCTTTCAGTGGACCCGAAAGTCATGGTAACAGCTCAGAAGCTGGCTGAATTCGTTGCTGAGGTTGGGCCGGAAATTGAGCAGTTCAGCATTGATAACAGTGCCGATAATCCAGACTTGTTGTGAGTGGTTTGTTGTTTATCAACACCCCCCCCCCCGCTCCTCCCCGGTCTTGCTTGTCAATGAAAAGTGCAAATGGATAAGAGAAATACTTTGAAATGATTCAATAATAGTTCAGAGAACCCAGAGGTACTTTGGCTGTCCTTGTTGAAATCCTTGTAAGACACTTGCAAAAGGATTGACGGCTGTCTCGTTTTTCAGACTGGGAGGAGGGAACTGAGATGGAGAGCAAGTCGTTTGCCTAAGATCACTTCTTATTTGATCAACATAGAGGTGGGATTTCATTTGCTGGTCAGTTTTATTGCGGCCACACTAGAGCAATAGCACTTAGACTTATATACCACTTCACCGTGCTTTACAGCCTTTTCTAAGCAGTTTAGAGAGTCAGCCAATTGCCCCCAACAACCTGGGACCTCATTTTACCAATCTCAGAAGGATGGAAGACTGAGACAACCTTGAGCCCGGTGAGATTCGATCTGCTGGCAGTGGGCAGAGTCAGTCTGCAATACTGCATTCTAACCATTGCGCCACCCTGGCTCCCTATCTGCCAGACAAAAGAAGAAATACAATTCCCTTTGATGTGAAGTCATCCATTTTTAAACTGTTGGGTCATAAGTTACTCGAGGGAGGAGGCTGTAAGCAATTCTTTGCAGAGTTGAGTTTAGTTTATTGTCATTGCACCTTATACAACGAAATCAAACACCATCTTCAGTGCACATCATGACCAGGAAAATAAACACAAACACACATCCTTCACAATCCACACATGAATTGGAAACCCCCGACACCACACCAACCCTGCACTATACAGCAGAATTCAACAGAGCTTCTGCCCTGGGATAGAAGCTGTTTTTCATCTTATTTGAGCTTGTTTTTAATATTCTGTACCATCTGCCAGATGGTAATAGTTCAAAAAAAGGGTGCCCAGGATGAGTTGGATCTTTGAGAATGTTTTGAGCTTTCTTAAAGCAGCGGGAGCTATAAAGCTCTTCCAAAGAGGGGAGAGGGCAACCAGTGGTCTTCTGGGCAATGACATTAACCCTCTGGAGTGCTTTCCTATCTGCCACTGTGCAATTGGCAAACCATACAGAGGTGCAGTAAGTTAAGATACTCTCTGTGGTGCAGCAATAGAAGGTCACCAGCAGTTTTTCATTCAGTTGTTATTTCCTGAGAAGTCTCAGGTCGTATAATCTCTGCTGGGCCCTTTTGACCAGGGCTGCAATGTGAGCACCCCAGGTCAGGTCCTCTTTTATAGTAACACCCAGAAACTTTAAACTTAAAGCTGATCAGGTTGGTGTAGACAGGGCAAGAGCTTGCAGAAAGACCATTTGCTGCAATTTGGCTGCAAGTTTTTCACCCTACCTGTGGACTGCAGTTGGAATCGAGGGCCTCATATACCTGAAAAGTGCAGATTTAGCACACCCCCTCCCCCCCTGCTACTAGTATTACAAGTATTATTGTAATAATAAATAACACTGTTCTAAACTCCCCACCCCACCCCACCCCAGATTTCTGCAGGATCCAGAGAGTTCTGCCTTCAAGTTTTATCGCATGAAAGTCCATGAATTATGCCCCTCTATCAGCTTCAGTGATAAGCAGGAATCTGGTGGCTTCCATGAAAGGTCTGAACCAAAGGAAAGCGAATGGGGAAACCTGGAGGAGGGAGAAGGGGACGAGGAAGAAGAGGAGGACGAGGAAGAGGAGGAGGAGGAAGAAGAAGCTCCCCAAGCTGACATGGGAGATGAAGAGGGAGATGAAGAGGAGGAGGAAGCTGCAGAGCCAACTGAGGAGCTAGACGAAGCCATGTTGGAGGAGGGGCTTATGAAAGCAGAGCATTCAAATACCGCTGAAGAAGGAGGAGAGACCAGTGGCCTTTCAGAGCCAACGGCACAGGCACCCATGCAGGGCACCCCCTTTGGGCGCAAGAGAATCAGTAGCAAATCCCTGAAAGTGGGCTTGATCCCAGCCTCAAAGAGAGTGTGTCTCATAGATGAACCAACAGGTGAGCTGGGAAAATGTTTTGGGTGCTTCTGCTAGGTTATATAGTGCAGAGGTCTCCAAACGTGGCAACTTTAAGACTTGTGGACTTCAACTCCCAGAATTCCCAGAAACTTAAAGTTTCCAAGTTTGGGGGCCCCTGCTACAGTGTGTTTGACCTTGTCCCCATATTGTCCCAAACCGTAAGTGTGAGGAGGTCCTTGGTGGTTTCTGAGGTCAGTTGTTTTCATACAGACGTTTCATTATACAGCTAGATAACATGATCAGTGCTAGGAAGTGTGGGGTTTGCTAACACCACCAATGTTATCTGGGGGAAAACAACCAATCAAGCTCAGAGATCACCAAGGATACCGTCGTTCAACCCTGGGCTTTAAATATTCTCATATACTGGTGCCTTGGGAATGGTTTGGGCCCATTGTCTAAACTTAGCAATCAATTTTGTGGCTTACTCAGTGTGTAAACCCAGTTTTTTTTAAATCATGAGCTACATGCTTTCCAGTTTCATTGCAAATGTACCAGTCTGTGCTGGTGGCAGGCAGAAGAATGAGGAAAATCTATTAATTTCTTTCTGAATTCCTAATTATGACATGGGTCTGAATGACAGGTAATTTGTACAGTGAGGTTTCTGACAGTGTATTACTTATTCTTTATTTGTTCAGTTCTGCAGTAAAATGTGTCCTTCTCTCTAAATCTCAGGGCTTATAAAGCATTTTTCCACATATTTCTTGCAGGGCTGCACTTAGCCTCCATCTCTCTCGCTGAAGATCAGACAGGTGTCAAAAGTATTGGAAAACAGTTAGCAAATAGTATAGTTAATTGCAGTTGGCAGTTCTGACTGATTTTGTGCTATATTCAGACTGGTTTTGCACAACACAGTTAATTGAACAAAGTCATGATCTGGGTCAACACAGTCCATTAAATTCACCGAATTGTCCAAATAGACTGGATTTGCAGAACTAGCGAAGGGATTTTTTTAAAAATGCTACATTTAAAAACTAATCAAATGTAGCAGGTCATGTAAATGTAGCTGTTAAGCCGGTCTGGTAATATATACATGTGGATCCAGCCTTATTTGAGGGTATGTGTTGCCTAAGAGTCTTCACCATAATGAGTTGTGCTTCTGCCAGCGAAAACGGAGTTTGAGAGGGCCGTGTGTGTGTGGCCCCCCTGAGCTCCATTTTCGCTGGCAGAAAACAAAAACAAAAAAGGAGAAATGTTTCCCCTTTTGTATTTGAGCGTGCAAGAAGGGACAGGAAAGGAGAAAGGGAAAGAGGAAAGACAAAGGAAAAGAAGGGAAGATGGGAAGAGAGCAAGGAAGGAAAGAGAAGGGAAGGAAGAAGGAAGAGGGAAGGAAGGAAGGAAGATTATAATGAGAGGGAGGGAGGGTCTGAGGGAAGTCCTGCCTTAGCACTTGGCCGCCCCAGGTGCCCCCGACACGAATGACGTTGAGATGGCCACCCTCCACACCCTGAAGTCAAACACAATCCTGATGCGGTCCTCAATGAAATCGAGTTTGACACCCCTGTAGTAAGTGGGATCTCTCAAGTGTGTTACTCTCTCAGCTGAGTTAAATTTCTGACCGGCTGTGGCAGCCATTTTTCTGGGTTTGGAGGTCCTCCGCCATCTCAGCAATCAGATTGAGACCTGGCAGGGATGCCACTCTGCAGCCAGCTCAACTGCCTTTTCCGCAGGGTAGCGCTGCTCAATGCCAACAGGGCCTTGCAGGTAACCATAGCAACCTCCCCTCCCCCTTCCCTGTCCAAGGAATGCAGCTGGAATAGAATAGAATAGAATAGAATAGAATAGAATAGAATAGAATAGAATAGAATAGCTTTATTGGCCAAGTGTAATTGGACAAACAAGGAATTTGTCTTGATGCAAATGCTCTCAGTACATAAAAGAAAAGATACATTCGTCAAGAATCATAATGAATAGAAGAGAGGAGAAGAGAAGAGAATTCTTTATTGGCCAAGTGTACATAAAAGAAAAAGATACATTCGTTAAGAGTCAAAAATCATCAGGTCCAACACGTAATAATAGTCGTAGGGTACAATAAGCAATCAAATCATACTAGGAAACACTCAGTATACGCCATAAGGATACAAGCGACAAAGTTACAGTCATACAGTCACAAGTGGGAGGTGATGGGTGATAAGAGGTGATGAGAAGATTAATAGTAACAGTAGTGCAGACTTTGTAAATAGTTGGACAGTGTTGAGGGAATTATTTTTTAGCAGAGGAATGGCGTTTGGCAAAAAACTGTCCTTATGTCTAGTTGTTCTGGTGTGCAGTGCTCTATAGCATCGTTTTGAGGGTAGGAGTTGAAACGGTTTATGTCTGGGAAGTGAGGGGTCTGTAGATATTTTCAGAGCCCTCAAATACGAAACCCGAGTGAGCAGATTTCTGAGACAGGAACTTCCCCCTCCTCCTGCTTTCCATCCTCCTCCTAGGGTTCCTGAAAGCAGAATTATATTTCAGTTATGAAAAACAGGATTCTCAATTACATGGTAAATTGAGGCTGATCCAGTGCTTCAGCACTTCCTACTGCTAATCTAATATACCATGTTTGGAGGTCATCCGCGTCTGACGCTGGAGACAAGGGAGAGCTGTTTCCATCATTGGTCTGCCTGGGCTTCCTGAAAGCATCTCTTCGGTCAAAGTAGTACAGATCTATGTGGATTCTTCCTCTAAAGCCCCAAAGCGTTACAGTATTTATTTGATGTAGGATTGATTCACCCTCTCATTTTGCTTTTTAGTGCATGATCCGGTGCGGATCTCTTATGACCGACCTCGTGGCTATCCTTCGTATAAAAACAAGAAGGTGAGGCAAAAACGATTCTCTTTTAAGACTGGGATATTTATGTTGCTACTTTTCCTCCAAGTAATGCAGAATGGAATAATACGCCATAAAGATTGGGAGAGAATTCTTCTGTTTAATTTTTGTTCCTATTCTGTTACCGGGGGCTTGTCTTTAAGTTCAACTGTCTACACAGTACCATACTGGATCACAAATTAGAATTTGCATGCTGGAATGTGTTCTGCATATAAGTAGTCCTTGACTTACGACTGCAGTTGGGACCAGAATTTCTTTTGCTAAGCAGGGCAGTTGTTAAATGAGACACACCCATGGTTCTTAAGCGAATCCATTGATTTGTACCACGATGCAGTTATAACGGTACTGAAAAAAATGACTTGCAACCAGTCCTTGCAGGTTACAGTGCCGGTTACAGTGCCGTTGTAACCCTGAACAGGTGCTAAACAAGTGGTTGTAAGTCTACAGTTAGTCCTTGACTTACAACAGTTCACTGTTCAAAGTTACAACAACATTAAAAAAAAAGTTATGATTGTTTTTCAGTCACGATGTTTGCAGCATCCCCATGATCATGTGATCAAAATTCAGATGCTTGGCAACTTGTTCAAAGTTACGACCGTTGCTATGTCTTTTGCAACCTTCTGACCAGCAAAGTCAATGGGAAAATTCCCCACCCCATTTTCCTACCGATCAATCATTCTTTATTTGGGATTGCAGGATACCGTCTCCAGCTCCGTTCTTAGAGGGAGAGAGAGAGAGACTTTTGGCTTCATGCAAGGAAAGCAGCAGAAGCAGCAGAAGTCTTTGTGAGACTTGTTGCACAGCCTCTTGGAGCAGGATGCCTTGGAGTTTGGGGGAGAGAAACAAAGACTTTTGCTGTTTTCCTTGCGTGCAGCCAAAAGCAGAAGAAGAATGAAGCGGAAAGAAGCAGCCTGGTGGCCAGGTGAGGCGCGTGGGGCGAATGGGGCAAGTTCCCCCCTCTGCCCTCACTACCTCGTGTTGTTCGCAATGCAAGTGACGCAATCCTTGTGTTCTCATGGGCCATGTGGGCAGCACAGCCTTGTGTTCCCGTGCAGCCTGGAATAATTGCTTTGGGGGTTGTGCTTTTTGGGGTGGGGGGGGACATTTCTCTGTGGACCACCAAAATTTTCTCATGGACCACCAGTGGTTCCCAGCCCACTGGTTGGTGACACTGGGACAGAGCACTAACTTGTGGAATAATCATGATTTCCAAGCATATCCTAAAGTTGTTCCTAAGGATGTAGGAAATTCATTGATCAGGAAACGGAATGTTCCAGGGAATATTCTATTTCCATCGATTTTGGGAGTGGTTGAGTAGTTTTGCCGAAATAAATTCTTTGAATCAAAAAGCCAGGTTATGCTTGATCAAATAGAGCAATGATTGTCAATTCCTTATCCTCCAAAACAGTCAGTTTCAGAATCGGTTAGTTTTGTCCATCCCTACATTGTTCTTAAGTTTTTGGGTTTTTTTTAGAAGATTAAAAAAATGATGACTGGTTGGAATTTTGGAGTTTTGTTTCTAAATATGCCCACCTGCCCTCAAAATAGACAGAAAATCTGGAACTTGGGTATAGGCTGTCCTCGATTTATGGTTGTAATTGAGCCTGGAATTACAGTTGTAAGCCATGCTGGTCATTAAGCAGGTCAGGATGTGATCACGCCCAATAATTACGACCTTTTCTGCGGTGGCCATTAAGTGAATCATTACCATTAAGTGAATCCATTGTCTGCAATAGGGTTGTTGTTTTTTTTTGCTAGACATCAAAAGTAAACACCAGTTTCCAGAAAAAATACACATTGTAAATCATAGGGACACAAGATGTTGCAAGTGGCCATACAAGTAGGCTGTTACCGAGCGCCACAACTGTGATCACATGACCATGAGGGGCGGGCCATCAAAACTGAATCCAGGTAGCCCTGGAGAGTCCCATTGTAAATTTAAATGGTCGCTATGTGACTGGTCATAAGTCAAGGAGTACCTGTATGGTGAGTTTCTAGGGAGGCTCAAGACAAAAGATGTAAAGAGAGCGTCGTTGCAGATTTATCCTTAGGTAAGTTTATGTTTTAGGATGGACCCCACCCATCGGTGGCCCATTTTGATGAATACGTCAAGATCACATCAGCTGTTTGCTCTCACCATCTGTCACGTGGTTTCCAAAATGTGAAAAATATCCCTATTTCCCTTCTTCCCCCGAACATTGGGGATCTCTGCTTATGGTTGTGTTTAACATCTCCTTATTATGTTCCAGCCTGTTGAATCTTGTTTTTATTTGTCAGCAACAGAAAACAAAGGATTTGGAATTCTATAATAAGAGACTAAATGAGAAGAACATTGGCTTCCAAATACTTCAAAAAATGGGTTGGCAAGAAGGGCATGGCCTCGGGTTACATGGCAAAGGCATCCAGGAACCTGTCAAAGTGTATGTATGAAGCGGGCAAGAGGAGCATTTAAGCGCTCACGCATTTGGATTTGATTGTTGTCCAAATGTCTGGTTTCCACTTATTTCCTAGTATCAATTCTAAGCTTTTACATTTGTTGCTGCTTAAATAGCTCTTGTAACTCGAGACGCAACACATTCCAAGCTTCTTTGGAGTTCCTCTCCCAAGCTTGCGATAAAGCAAATTTTGATTGTCTTTAATTAAATTTCCACCCACAAATAGTGGAAGTAACTGAATATATGTTTTGCTATCTGCCTGTACAATTAAAAAAAAAATCATCCCCTTACTTGATTATTCTGTGATTGGTGATAGGAGAGCACCAAGCATGGAATATCACCCTTCTATTTTTGTAGCCTGGTGCAAAAAAAAAAAAAAGAGGAAAAAACAAAGTTTTATTTTGTTCCATACAGTGTAACATCCAGAATGTTCCAAAGGGATTGATTTATTTCAGCACTGAAATATTTACTTACTTACTTACTTACGACATTTATATCGCTTCCCATCTTCTGATCTACTCTGGGTGGCTCTAACATTTAAATTGTAAAACCCAACACATTAAAACAACAGCAGCAAAAATAGTTGTTTTGTGTGTGTAAAAGGATAGCCCAGAGGCTATTTCGCCTGAATCACAGCCCTCTGAATGTAGAATAAGACATTTACTGATTTCTTTCTTTCTTCATTTTAAATATTTGCACATCACTCCAGTCACAGGAGGAAATAAAAAACATACCTATTTTTGTGTGCCTATTGCGCCAATCTGTAAGTCTCTGAGAAATGAACATCCCTACAGTTCAGTAAAAAAAAGCAAGGCCAAAATAAAAACAGTAATAGAAGTAAAACTCATTCCAACCAACAAGGCTTCTCACAATGTATTCTCACCAAACCTTGGAGCTATATTTATTATCTGTACCCCTAAAGCAGGGGTGTCAAACTCACGGGGGCCCGATCCAGCCTGCGGGGTTACTTAGGCCTGGCCCACGGGGCTGTCCTGGAAATAATGAAGGACCGTGCCACGGTGCCCCTGCCAGCGAAAACTGAGCTTGCGAGGGCCACCTGCGTCGTCCCGTCCCTCTTCCCCTGAGCTCTGTTTCCACTGGCAGAGGGTTGCAGGAGGCCGTCACAGCCGAAAGCAGAGCCCGGGAGCCTGTTTTTGCTGGCAGGGTGCTTAGGCCATCACAGGCACCCCCCAACACAAGTGACATGTTGGCCGTGTGCCCCCCCCGGCCTTCTCGAGGTCAAACACAACCCTGATATGGCCCTCAATGAAATGGAGTTTGACACGCCTGCCCTAAGGATCTCCAGAAGATCTAGTTTTAGTAGACCTCCAAAATGCCAACAGGGAAGGTGCTACTTTCCTCTCTCCCCTCGAGTAGGCTACTTCAGAGGGGCTCAGGTCCTGGGAAGAGATGCTCTCAGGATCCCTGCTCTCAAGATTTCCTGATGGGTCGGGACTTTGCAGCAAGTTCTCCAGCTTGATCTTGCTGAATGAACAGTTTACGTAGAAAAGCTGGCCCTGTTAAGATACCCAGGTTCTTATTCATGCAGCCTCATACCACACTCGGGGTAGCACCCTCAGCAGACTTCTAGATTCTCCTAGAACAGTGGTTCTGAACCTGTGGGTCGCGACCCCTTTGGGAGTCGAACGACCCTTTCACAGGGGTCGCCTCAGACCATCGGAAAACACGTATTTTCGATGGTCTTCGGAACCGAGCCATAATTTGATGGTTGGGGGTCACCACAACATGAGGAATTGTAGTAAAGGGTCGCGGCATTAGGAAGGTTGAGAACCACTGTCCTAGAACAAGGGTCTTCAAACTTGACAGCTTTAAGACTTGTGGACTTTGACTCCCAGAATTCCTGAGCTAACGTGACTGGAGGAGGAATTCTGGGAGTTGAAGTCCACAAGTCTTAAAGCTGTCAAGTTTGAAGACCCCTGTCCTAGAATGATCAAGTCGGATGGGCAGAATCGTGTCTGATGAGGTAGTCCCTGATACATCCCCATATTGCATCATTTAGGACTTTATCGATAACGATCAGCACTTTTGTCTTCAAAGGTAGCCCCATACACAGCAAGGAGTACAATAGTTGCGATCAGGATGTCGGTCAACATCAGCAAAGCCAAAAAGATCCAGTGTGTGCCCTCTTATAGCACGTGTGTCAGGGCCGCTGTACTTCAGATGAGCCTGTGGTGACTCCATAGCCCCAGCTGATATCTTTTAATTTTATGCACAGGCATCTGCAACCGCCTGCCTTCCCAGTAACTGCAATTGTTTTGCGTGCAGTAATGACCACCCCTCCTTCCCAAGCCTTGCATCATCACGGCTGCTGCGCTGCTGAAACCCAAAAGGGTAGATGTCCAACAGGGCAACATCTCCCACAGTGCCCAGCCAAGTCTCAGTAATGGGTGCCATATTGGTGCATTCATCTAACTCCATGTCAAGTCTTATTCTACACAGACTTGATAATTATTGGCAGCAGCTTGAGACAAGGAACTTTATATTCAGCTACCCAGGACTGGGACAGCTGGCCTAGTAGGACACCAGTGTGGAGGTTCCCCTTCTGCTGTATTAACCTTTTTGGTGTCACTGCTATACCTCCTCCGCTTCAACCTGACACCCATTTATTTCTCTCCCAGACAGCGAATATGGACCCATTTTCTACTTATCCTTTCCATATGCGCCTCTTTCCAGTGTCCGCCATCATGTACAGGGCATTCCTGCAGGTGCAGCTGGACATTAAACACCCCAGTTTATACTTGCTGTCCAGTCAATCTCACCTTTCACACACAAATTAATATGCATGAAGTCCACTCCCCACTGAGGAACAGCTAAGACCACACCCACACTGACAGTGCAAGCTACTAGTCTATATCATGGAAGCAAACCCCACTCCTTTCTATCACTGATAATGTTACCTAGTTGGATAATGAAATGTCTGCAAGAAAACAACAAAGATCAAAGAGCACTGAAGACCTCCCACTTTCTAACTAAATTCAGGATCTCTATTTTTATCTACCTACCATCTCCCAGAGCCTCTTCCCAAGCTATTTACGTACTTCTAATGCGTGCTAACTGCTGAGACATATTTCTTACCTTGTGGACAAGATCCATAAATCCTTGGCAATCTGATTCTGATTCTTCCAGACCCTTCAGCTCCACCCTGGCTTCTAGCCACCTTGATCTATTCTCCAGAGGTTGTTGCTTATGTGCCAGCATGGCTGTTACCATTTTCTCAGCCATTAGCCAGTGCAAGTCACTCTCTCCCTCCCTTCTCAGATCTCCGGTGCTGTTGCCATTTCTCTCACATACCTGACCAGAGACCATGAGTTCATACGTTCCAGATTTGAACTTTTAATCTATAGACTGTTGCCTCACTTGCTTCCATGCTCTGACCATTGTGTTTGTTACTGATGTTTTGCAGCTATCTGCCTAAAAAACACCGTAAACAAGGATTCCAGCAACTCAGTTTCAGCTCTTGGACAGATCTCCATCATTGTCTATTGCAGGGTTTCTCAACCTTGTCAATTTTTGGATGTATGTACTTCAACTCCTAGAATTCCCCAGCCTTGGTCTGTTCCTACCAATCTGAGTCATCCATTTACTCCAATATCCTGTCTCCCAGCCCCCAGACATTTTTCCAACACAAACATCATTACTTAGCACTTTCATCCTTGCAAGTCTTCCCAGTGCCCCTATTGGACTAACAGTCCACTACTCCAAAGCAAAATCTTCGGGCACATAACTAAACGACAATACTTTTTTTCTTCCTAGCATTTTCCCACTTAACAGTGGCCAAGTAAACTTTCTATCCCAGGAACCATCTTCAAACATTCTAGTTACCATACACATGTTATTTAATTATATATTTTATATATAGACACAGGGGACGTGGTGGCTCAATGGCTAAGACGCTGAGCTTGTCAACCAGAAAGGTTCGGCAGTTTGAATTCCTAGCACTGCGTAACCGAGTGAGCTCCCGTTACTTGTCCCAGCTCCTGCCAACCTAGCAGTTTGAAAGCAGGTAAAAATGCAAGTAGAAAAATAGGGACCATTTTGGTGGGAAGGTAACAGCATTCCATGCTCCTTCGGTGTTTAGTCATGCCGGCCATATGACCACGGAGACATCTTTGGACAGTGCTGGCTCTTCGGTTTTGTAACGGAGATGAGCACCGCCCCCTAGAGCCGGAAACGACTAGCACGTATGTGCGAGGGGAACCTTTACCTTTACACATCCCTATACGAACACACATGTACGTAGTTACTGTGTATGTGCCCGTGTGTTGAGATTAGCAAGTAGCAAGATAGCTTTTTCTGGGTTATCGGTCTCTGCCTCTTGTCTCTTTAAAACAAACTGAGAAAACCGTAGCACACACTTAACTAGGTATCTCTCAGAGGCAGCGGTCGTCTTCTGAGAGCCATTTCCCAGAAATCCAAGATCCTATTGTACTCTTGTTCTCTTTGCATCATCCAAATAGTCATTGTCTGAATAGGAGATAGGTTATAGGTTTTCCGGTCTATTTTAACAATGTGATTCTTCTTGCATCAACATGACCTCTAGAATTCCTGGCAATGTACTTGTGCTAAACCTCAAGGGTTTGTTTCCTTTGAAGATGTGCTTGAGGTGAGGTGGCATTTATTTCCTCAGTGCTGGCCTCTTTGTGAACAAGTATTTCTGTAATTCTCCATTTTCTCCCTGCTGTATGCTCTTGGAGCCAATCCAATGTCTTTGGGTTGAATATTATTGTACTCTAGCTTCCATCAGCCCCAGCCAAGTACAGTGTATCCATGGCAGAGGATGTTGTATTCAGTACCTGAAGGACTGCAATTCCCCAACTTTCATAGGAGTGTCTTTGAAGTGGTCCAGTCTTCCTTCATCATGGATCAGATTTCTGCCACCTTTTCCCTTGCCTTATCTGATGCTAACATGTTCTTGAGTTTTTCTTTAATCTTCCGTTACCTTGAAAGCGTTTTAAATCAGTCTTCCGAATAAATGAGAAAGAAGTATCTGACTCCTCCTCCTTCCTTCAATCCTTTTGAAAATAGTAATTTAATCCCGAGCCGTATAGCTTCTGCTCACAATGTACAAAGCCTCAGTGTCAGCCCACGGTGACTTCCAATTTGATAGCAAGAATTTGTAACTGAAATATAAATAACTGCACATTAGAGCAGTGTGATCCTGTACCCCTCCAGATGGTGAAGGATTCTAAATTTCTATAATTCCTGGTGTAATCTTGAATTTAGAACCCAGCAACAACTAGTGATTAAACATTAGTAAATCTTGCTTTCTCCTCATCAGGGCCTTTACGATTCATTTCTGGAAATGTTTAGGGTCGAGATGGGGACTTTCCATGCAAAGTAGGTGAACCTAAGCTCATCAGGGCCTTCCTTCTTAGGTTGCTTCCGCTTTCCACATACAGGCCTGAATCTTCATATTCCAGTTTACAAAATATCAGGGAATATCAGGGTTGGAAAGACATCCGAAAAACCGCTGTTAGTCTGTCAGTACATTGTTGGAATGGATGAATTAGGGATGTACAGGTAGTCCGTGACTTACATCCACAATTGCTGTTGCTAAGCGAGACACTTGTTAAGTGAATCTTGCCCTGTTTTACAACCTTTCCTGCCACACTTATGAAGTGAATCACTGCGGTTGTTAAGTTAGTTGCACGGTTGATAAGCGAATCGGGCTTCCCCCTTCCCTTTGCTTGTCACAACGGTTGCAAAAGCTGATCGCATGAACCCTGAGGCACTGCAACCGTCATAAGCATGAGTCAGTTGCCCAGGGTCTGAATTTTGATCACTGACCTTGGGGATGCCGTAAGGGTCGTAAGTGTGAAATACAGTCATAACTCACTTTTTTTCAGTGCCGTTGTAACTTTGAACGGTCACTAAACGAACTGTTGTAAGTCAAGGACTATCTGTAATGGTATAGGGTAATTGAGTAGGTTCAACAGGGCATGCACAATCGTACGGTAGAGTAGGGGCTCTCCAACCTTGGCCACTTTTAAGACTTGTGGACTTCAACTCCCAGAATTCCCCAGCCAGCCCATGCTGGAGACCCCTGCAGTAGAATATCTATTCTGGATGCACAAACTTGCTAGATTTAATTCATTTCCTTCCCTGTTTTCCCAGATTCTACAGAAGAGGCAGTGGCTGTTGTCAGACACTAGTTGTTTGCCAGCTCTGTCCTTCAGATTACAGTATCCCCAAGATCCCTCAGCAACAAGATCACTGACAAAACTTTCTGGACCGTATCTGACTCTTCCCCATCCACCTTTCTCTTTGTGCTAACAACTGAAGAGGGTTCGGTGCTTTCTAGATAATCTCTGTAAAAGAAAGTATATTGCTATTGTATGTCATGATGTGATAATTGAGCACTAGGCAGAGGAGCTGGGTGGTTTTGTTCCATGGCTGAATTGCCCATTTCCCTTTTGTATTTTCGTTTTGTCTCCTGCCTTAGTAATCTTCCAGTACGTGGAGTCAAGGAGGATTAATCGCTGCCGAATCTTTTCCAATTTACCATTATTCCCAAGGCACAGAACACAATATGGATGCCTTTGCTTTCCTCTGAGCTGCCATTTGATCCCATGTCTATAGGGATTCTCAGCCATCCAGGTCACGGTTGTCCCAAAGGTGCTTTTTCAAGAGGCAACTGGGCTTCTCATCCAAGAAGCTTCTTCAGCTCTGACGGAGAGTGGGGAGTGGAAGGATTTATATTCCTCTTTTATACTTTTCTACTCAGTTTACACTCCAGCTGTCCGCAAGGAGTATAAATCCTTCCATTCCCCACTATCCTGTCAGAGCTTCTTGGATGAGAAGCGAAACGTCTTCAAAGAAAAACCAGAAACACCAGTTGCCTCTTGAAAAAGCACCTTTGGGACATTTGATCCCACATCGCATTAATCAGCACCACCCAAATATTGGCAACATTTTATTAATTTCTATATTATAAGTTAGAGCAGAGAGCCTCAGCCACTAGTTAAATGACACCAGTTTTCATGTTCTTGACCACTAGGAGTGTCCAGGAAAAAATGGACAGCATTTCCGCTGTGGTCTCAGGATGGCAGTGCTCAAACACAGGGAATCGACTGCGCATTTTCCGTTTCTTAAGATGCTGACCTACTTCGGTGCATCCTTTCCGAGCAGCTTTGCTCAAGATGGTTTGGAAGTATTCCAGAACTTCCTATGCTGCTCTGCCTTTTTTTTTTTTTTAATTCAAACCAGATCGAGCCATTTCTTATTCTCGCTCTCTCTTTACCAGGGATTGTGAACTACTCTGTCTGTCTAATCTCTCAGGGGCTTCCAGTTCTTTGTTTTCCATCTCCTCGGACTGTTTCAAGGAGGGAGATTGAACTGAGGTGGAAGAACAGTCTAGGCAGTAGATCTTATCTTACAATCCAGAAAGCTCATGATGATAAGATATTAGTTTATCTGAAATCTCTCTTTGATTTGTGCAGTGCTTACCTCTTCCTATATGAAATTTGGCACAGTTGTTTCTCAATAAATGGTCTATGATTGTTTCACCTCTCTGAAGGCCAGCTCATGCACCTGAGCTTTTCTGTTTCATCCCCCTACTCTGCCAATCCCTTAAATATCAAGACTGCTTCAATCCCAATGGGACTATTCATCCATGTAACCATGTATCCCTTTATGTAACCTCCAACCACGCGAAAGACACAGGTCAGAATCCCAGAGCTTTATAGCAGTCCCAAAATAATAATAATAATCATGCAGAATTGAATATTGCAAAGACAAAGACCCCTAAATAGTCTGTTCTGTTCCTGTTCACACACAATGCAGGTAGTCCTCAACGTACGACTGAAATGGAGCCCAACATTGCTAAGTGAGAAATCTGTTGAGTGACTTTTGCCCCATTTTACAGCTTTTCTCACCACATTTGTTAACGTGAATCACTGCAGTTCTTAAATTAATAACAGTAACTCTAGCTTCCCCATTGACTTTGCTTGTCAGAAGGTCACAAAAGGGGATCATGTGACTCCGGGGACGCTGCAGTGGTCATAAATGTGAATCAATTGTCAAGCATCTGAATGCAAATCACGTGACCATGGGGATGCTGCAGCGGTCATAGATCACTTTTTTTCAGTGCCGTTGTAATTTGGAACGGTCACTAAATGAACTGTGCTGTTGTAAGTCGAGGACTACCTGTATTTATTGATCATGTTTTGGAACAGAGGGAACTCTAGGCAGTGTATAATTAAAAAAATATCTCTGGATTGATGAAATCTCTACATTTGGCCCAGAAAATGCCACAGGAAATTCTTAATGAGAATACAACAGCTACATCTTCCTGTCAATTATAATAGACTTCCCCTGTTGGAAGGTGCCTTATTAGATACATGATTAATATTTGATGACAGAGTGAAAAGAGATCCAAATGATTTTCCCGTATCGGGATAATTAATACAAAAGGCTTGAATCTTTTATACGTTTGCTGTTTCTTTCACCATGATCTACACATTTGGAAATATTATTCTAAGAGAAAAGTTAATCTCAAAGGTTTTTTCGAAAACCCTTACTCTTTATATCTCATTTATATCTCAACCCATTTGACTTTGGTCTTCCCCTCTCCTCCTTTATATTTTAGAATAGAATAGCATAACAGAGTTGTAAGGGACATTGGAGGTCTTCTAGTCCAACCCCCTGCTTAGGCAGGAAACCCTACACCACTTCAGACAAATGGTCATCCAACATCTTTTTAAAAACTTCCAGTGTTGGAGCATTCACAACTTCTGGAGGCAAGTTGTTCCACTGATTGATTGTTCCAACTGTCAGGAAATTTCTCCTTCGTTCTAGGTTGGATCTCTCCTTGGATAGTTTCCACCCGTTGCTTCTTGTCCTGCCCTCGGGTGCTTTGGAGAATAGCTTGACTCGCTCTTCTTTGTGGCAGCCCCTGAGTTATACAGGACTGTTTATATAGGACTGTTGTTTTTTAAAAAAGGCATCACTCTTATTGCTTCTATTCCAAATTGATTTTCTCTCTCTCTCTCTCTCTAAATCCTGGATTCTGCGTGTAACTCAGAACAATTTTTCCCCAAGTTGCAAACCTAAAAAAAAGCAGCGCCTCCAAAATCTTTTGCCAAGGGTCATACCACTTCATAAAAAACAGGCCTTTATTGCTGCTCTTTTTGGAGAAGCCGGAAGAATAAAAGGAAATTGGAGAGAGCATATTGCTGATCATTAGAGACTATAACTATATCTTTTGAGGTCCATTATTTTCAATGGTAGAAGGCCTTTGATTCCACTGAACGATGCCCATGGAAACAAGCTGAGGAGGCCATTCCTTTTCCTGGCCTTCATGGCATCTCCTTCTGTTTTTGTAACAATGGATATCTTCTGTTTTCTTGGTAGCGGATAAGCGGTTGGTTTAGACCTCAGGAAGAGCTGCTAAGTTCTAATCCCTGTTTGCTAATGGAATTTTCTGGAGGATTCTCTAGCTCCTTTCCTCCCCCTTCCCCACCCCCCAAACTTTCCTTGAGAATCTTATTCATGTCACTCAGCTCCCTTGGGAGAAAGAACAGGATAAGATATTATTTTTCTGGGAATAAAAAGTCTTACGTATTCGCAATCTGGGGTACTGCTTAGATAGTGAAAGTTAATTGCCTTCTAACAGATCTTCTAGAAAATAACTACAGCAGGTTTCATTCCTTTGGAAAGATGACCAGGTAGTTTTTGCAAGCCTCTGAAATTTACACCGCAGCTGATTTTAGGCACCCAGTAACTAAGATCAACAACTTCAAACTTCATTATCATTTTGAAGGCTTGGCAACTAAGGTTTTTTTTCCCCCTCCTTATTCATCCTGCACTTTGTCATTGGAGCTGACAGTAAAGAAATTGAGATGTCTTCATATTTACTTTAATCTTTTTTGCCTCCTATAGGGGCTCTACCTCGGCAGGGGAGGGCTTGGGTGTTGCAGGGAAGAACAAAGAGGATACCTTTGCTACGTTCCGTCAGAGAATGATCCAGATGTACTATATGAAAAGAGCCAATAAATAGGTAGGTGTGTAAAATGGAGGCAGTTGTTTTCATTTTAAACGGTTGCAAGAGTTAAAAAAAAAAATATCCATGAGAGATTTTCTACTTTTTCACATTGTTGGTTCATATTGAAAATCCAGAGTGACATTACTGATATTATATTCTGATGGCTAGGATGCCTTTATTACTGTTTGGTCTTGCAAGAAATTGATTTCAATTTTGGATCTTTCCCGGTTCCCGCCCCAGCATGCAAAAAGCCGTAAAATTAAACATCTCCAGTATCCTAAGAGAAGATACCTGGCCTTCAGAAGCAGGAGCAGTCCACCTTTTCATCAAAAGTCATCTATGGCTTAGCAACAATTTATAACGATCTCCCCAATCAAATCCCCTTCAAATGTTTTAAGCTGTAATTTCTAGCAACCTCGATCGGCATAGATAATGTTGAGGCTATGGCTAAATTATGGTTAGGATTGTGAGCCAATACTTCCTGTTGGGGCTTAACAGGGAAAGAATTCCTCCATTTTTTTTCCTCAAGGTCAGAATGACAATTTTTTACCGTTTTTAATATGAATTCCTGGTATGTATTGCCCCTGGGAGTATAATTAAATTTGGCAAATTCTGCTATTTTCATCAATTCTGGGGTCCGGGAAATTGCTTAGGAAAAATTCAGCAGCAGACCAAACCATTATCTTAGCATCAATTTCATGAACTTGTTTTGGGGACCTTTACCAACAATCTGTGGCTCTGGCCTCCTCCCCAAATATGTGCAGTATTTAAGCCACCCTGAATGTCTTTTGTTCACATTCTTGGATGGTCTTTTCTTAACTTCCACAGTGGTACCTAGACATTCTTGGGAAGCTTTCTTTGTATGTAGGAGATAAAGCTGTTTGGAATTTGCATGTCTATTTTATATTTTGTTAAATAAATATGATTACAATTTGTTGAAGGTGACGATTGGACCTATTCAGGTAACATCTCTTTTTTTCCATGAGTCTTTCAAAGCAGCCATAAATATGACAAAGACTTACGTTAATCAAATAACGTCTTGTACCATAAAGATTCTTATGTGTAAAATCCATCTTAAAAACTGATTATCGACGGCATTCGGATTTGAATTTAGAATTCTTGCAGATTAATCATACTTCTTAATTCATATTATCTGGAGTTCTGGGTAGCATGTTTGCCATCAAATTTGTCCAGTCTTTCAGTTTTTCTATTATTGTCTCCAGAAGATGTCTTCATCTTGTTGGTATTACCTTTTTTTTTTTTAATTTCAATTCTCACAGCCATGGAGTTTCTTTTCCCACCACATTCCACTTTGGGGTAGGGTTTGAAATATGCATGATTCTCCACACTTGTTTTCATTAAAAAAAAAACTTGTGATAGCATATATTGCAGTATCTTGTTTGGTATTCTCCTAGCTACTTTCTTGAGACAAGCTTTAGAGCTCCAGGAAATGCCAAATAAAATCATGGCATAGAATAAAAGCTTTGAAGATCATGCTAGCAAGCAGCCAATGACCTCTTCCATCACTTTCTAAGATGCTCAGAAGCCATTGATACAAACCAGCTGCTTCATTACTTGAATCAAAAGATTTGCAAGTACATTTGAATTCTTGAAGAATTCTAAGTAATTCCCATCCTTCAGGCTTTTGGGGTCCAATCCCATCAAATGGACACCGCCTTGAAGTCTAGACACCATCCTGATATCTTTTTCTTTTCTAGCTCCTTAGTTTTAGGGCTGTTGGTTTCTCTTTCCTGTACATAGCAGAGCATTGCCTATGTTTGCCTGCTATCAAAGCTACTAGTTTGATCTGTAAGCTTGAAATACTCTACAGACGTGCAACTTCTACTGGGGTTAAACCATCATTTTTTTTTAAAAAAAAAAGGTTTTGTTTAATGGTCAACTTTCCTATTCTTTCAAGTTGCTTAAAAACATTTTCTCTCTCAACTTCAGAATTTGCTGCGATTTTGAGATGAAATTACACGGGAGGTGGGGCGCTTTCTCAATCCAGTTTTTCTGTGCCCATTGTGGGCCAAAACTGAGCTGTCATTTCTTGGGAGGCATCAATTGTGGGCCAAAACTGAGCTGTCATTTCTTGGGAGGCATCAACTGAAGGCTTGATAAATCTCCAGACAGGGGAAGTGATGGTTTCTTTGAACCCAGTTTTGATGAGGGTGACCCTGCTGATTTCAGCTTGTTTCAGAGCTGCCTGGGTATATCATGAACACTTGAACATTTTAAAATACCAACTCTCTTATTTAGGGTGGCGACAAAAGGAGAAAAACATTTACCTCCAACACTCCCAGATTATTGCGATTCTAATCAGTCTTCCTTGTATGAAGATTTGATATGAGCTAAAAATGATACAGCAGCAGCACTGATGCTTTTAAGGTGCTGCTTTTCAATCGATCCTCTGTTAGATATTTGGGTTTCTTACAAAGCTTCAGGGTTTTTTTTGTTTCTTTGTTTGTCTGTCTGTTTTCAATCCTGCTTTTTAGCAGGCAACATCTACCAGCAAAAAACTTTAATGCATTTGCAAAAACTAAAAACGTTTTTTTAAAAAATTCAGTTTCGATCTGTGTCAGTTCACTACCTTTTCTGTTATTCTAGTTTTCCAGGCTCTCTGATACGAAGATCAGAAGCATCCAAGAACCTTTTTCTCTCCCGTCACTCGGGGGTGTGTCTCTCTTCTGTGTCACTTTTGGTTTGGAATGTGGCATTTTTGAAGTCCTCAGTCAGATTTTTTTTTTTTTCCTTTCTTCTTGTGAAACTTATCAGTATTGAACAGTAATGAATAGCAAATTGTTAGTCAACGATTGATCTTAACATTTCTTTTAAAATATCTTAATGGCATGTAATCCTTTTACCAAGATCTATAATAAATTAAAAAAAATCAGTAGAAAAAAGCCAGCTTTGTTTCCATTCTTGCGTCTTGATATATTGTACAAAGTTACTACAAACAAGTGCGTGTCTTGTGAAGGGAAGGTATGCTTGGGGGAAAAGTGGGTCACATTTACTATTTAAGAAGACAGAAGAAGCAGCAAAAAGATGAATCTTAGATGAAGGCAATCTGTCCTTGAATGGTACCAAGGATGTCTTTGAAGAAGAGCACGCCTCAGATCCTTCTCCCAGAAGAAGGAATATAATCATACAGCTTTTCTTCCTTTCTGGATATCTATTTCAGACTTAGCTCATGTTCTATTAATATTGATAGTAGCTAAACAAATAGATTTGAGTAGTTCACACTCATGTGGCTTTCCTCAAAAAAACCTCACACGTATTACTTTGATTTTATTACATTTATTACTTTCATAAAGTTTCTTGGAGAACCGGTTAGCACAACCAATCTTATAAATGCCATGCATAGGAGGCAGATGATTAAATGCAGTAATTAATGACACTGGAGAGCTAGTACATTCGTATATCACTCTGCTGCTAGAGGCTGCTCTAATTGTGTCTAGTGGGTTGGGGGTGAAGTGAACAGCTTGGTTCTTAAACTCAATAACATACTACATTGTCTGGATGGTTAATTTGTGACTCGGTGTCAACCAGGTTAATCCTAACCATTGTTAAGCGTATTCAACTCACATATACTAGCATGTTAAGTGGCTCAAGGTGACTTAGTGGATCATCTGAACTTGGAACTTGGTTTGTTTCTCTAGCAACATGATGGCCATGTACAGATTAATAGGGTTGTAAGAATAAGACACGCACATATAGCAGAAGCACGGAGGTATTATATATTCCCATCTTGACCACTGCCTTTTATGTTCTTGTTTTGGGCCTTTCTGTGAAATACTGCTCTCCTAGATTAAGAAAGGCCTGTTGAGACAAAGCTAAGATTTATGGGCTTAATCGGAGTCACCTTGGAACAGAGTGTTCGCTTGTGTGTTTTAAATTCAGCATATCCAGCACTTCAACTGCATTATATGTGCCATCTGATACACATGAGAACTGCAGCGTGGTACAGGTGCACGACATTTTAGAACCAGTGTGCTTTCAAATTCCAATCAAGGAAAAAAGACAGAAATTGTCACATTCTTCTTTTACCCAACTGACTTTTTCTGGTTACTTAAATTGGAACAAATTCTTTAATTATTGATAGTAGGAGGTTGGTTTTTTTTAAATGGTCTTCTGAACAAAATTACTTTTCCAACGTATGTATGCCATGCAAGGTGAAATTTTGAAAATGGGCCTTAAGAGTTGTCTGGCTTAATACTGGAACTTGCTCATCACATAACAACCATAAGTCTTAGAACTGTAGGCTCTAAGGGTGACGTGACCTAATCTAAGCTCCCAGAAGGGAGCCATCAAGGGACCAGCCTGCATATCTTCATTATCTGCTTCAGAACCTCTTCCAGGTCAGTGGGCAATTTTGCAAACGGATTTCACCTTCTCTACATCGTTCAGTTCCTTCTCCTATGGAAACTCGGAACATGTTGCGGGGGAAAAAGAAGAGGAAGACGTATTGGATATGTTCACAGCCTAGAGTTAATTGTAAAAATGATAAAGGGAATGAATGAATGAATGAATGAACAAATATTTCCTATCAATGAGTTCTTCTGCCTAAGAGAGGCAGATACTTGTGAGGGTTCAGTCAATAGGAGCAAGATGGACCCTATAAATATATTTTAACCAAAGACAGGTAACAAACATTTCAAATCCGAAGAGCTGCTGCTTTCCCAAATATCCAAACAGTTAACAGATAACAGACAATCAGAGTTGGAAGGGACCTTATAGGTCATCTAGTCCAACCCTCCACCCAAGCGGGAGACCCTACACCATTTCTGACAGTTGAAAATCAGTAATTGCTCAACTTGTTATATATTCACAGAAGAAGCTATTATATGTGTCATTGGATGAACCATGACTTTGGCCTTAGTTGTTCACCTCAAAAAGCCCAATCTATGTAGTCCAGCGAGACATGAATCTGAATTCCTCAAAATGCAGGTGAATGTAATGAGTCCTCGTGGTACAGTGGTTAGAATGCAGTATTGCAAGCTAACTGCCCACAGCCTGGTGTTTGAGCTTGAGGCTGATTCAGCCTTCCAGCCTTCCAAAGTCGATAAAATGAAGACCCAGATGTTGTGATATGATGACATTGTAAACTGTCTAGAACTGTAAAGCACTATGGAGCAGTATATAAGTCTTAAGTGCTATTGCTATGTAATAATAAAGGTCCATTTAGTTCTATAGTTTCCCTGAGATGCTTGAGAACATCACTCTTCTAGCCCAACCCATCTCACAGGGCAGAGGTTGTAGGGAAAAATACAAGGAGCACTACTGTCTGTACTGGATGTTGTGTTAATCAAAATAAAGCTAAGATACAAGTCAAACAAATAAGCACAGGACCCCATTCATGTTCCCCAACCAATGAAATTCAGAGATGAGATACTGCTCAAATAGTGATGTTGAACTGATGGGGAATAGAAGGGGAACTTACCAAATTTGCAGGTGATAACTAAGCTGGCAGGAATAGCTAACACCCAAGAAGATAGGCTTAAGATCCAGATGGATCTGGACAGGCTAGAACAGTGGCCCCCAACCTTTTTTGTGCCACAGCCCGGTACTGGCATCACAAAATGATCCACGGCCCGGTACCGGCATCAGCACGCATGACAAGGCAGGGCAAGCCGAGCGACCGGCCAGCCAGCCATCCCCCGCTTCTCCCCGCCACCTTCAACTCCTCTTTTGTACCTTTGTCGATGGGCTTCGGGACGGTCGCTCGGCTCGCCTTGCCTTGGGTGCTGAAAGAATCCTCGCGCCTTAGTTTCGTTTGAAGCCGCCCCCCCTTCGATGAAACTAAGGCGCGAGGATTCCTTCAGGACCCAAATGCCACTTTCCAACCGGAAAAGCTCACCCGGAAGCACTTTCTCATCGAAACAAGATGCCAGCGCCCAGCAAACCAGCGGCCCGGTAGGAAATGTTCCACGGACCGGTGCCAGTCCGGGACCCGGTGGTTGGGGACCCCTGGGCTAGAACACTGGGCCGTATCTAACAAAATGAAATTCAGTGTAGAGAAAAGTAAAGTCCTACACTTAGGCAAGAAAAACCAAAAGTACACTGGGTGAAACCAGGCTCAATAGCAGTAACTGTGAGAGGGATCTTGGAGTCTTATGGACAACCAGCTAAATATGAGCCAGTATTGTGCAGCAACAGCCAAAAAAGCTAATGCAATCCTACGTTGTATTAACAGAGGGATACAATCAAGATCAAGGGAGGTACTAATACCACTCTATAAGGCCTTAGTAAGACCACACTTAGAGTACTACATCCAGTTTTAGTCACCACATTATAAAAAAGATGTTGAGACTAGAAAAAGTACAAAGAGCAACCAGGATGATTAGGGGACTGGAGGCAAAAACATACAATGAACAGTTGCAGGAACTGAGCCTGGCTAGTCTAGGGAAGAGAAGGACCAGGGGAGACATGATAGCGGTCTTCCAATATTTGAGGGGCTGCCACAGGGAGGAAGGGGTCAAGCTATTTTCTAAAGTGCCTGTAGGCCAGACAAGGAATAATGGATGGAAACTGATCAAGGAGAGATTTAACCTGGAAATGAGAAACTTTCTGACAGTGAGAACAATCAACCAATGGAACAGAAGTTGCCCTCGGAAGTTGTGGGAACGCCATCACTTGAGACTTTCAAGAAGAAATTAGACTGCCATTTGTCAGAAATGGTGTAGGGTCTCCCACTTGGGCAGAGGGTTGGACTACATGACCTTCAAGGTCCCTTCCAACTCTGATTATCTGTTAATCTGTTAATGTCAGGACCTGGAATGCCATGGACACCTCTACCCCTCCCCTAGAGCTATGGTGACTCATGTTTTATGAGTTGACAAGTGGTCTGCTGTTGCTCTGATTTCACGGATTCTATTTTGAAAATGTCTAAATGGTGACAATCTTGTTGCCAAAGTGGTTTCCATAGCAACTTCATCCCCTGTGAAGGAGGTTTTCCCTTGAGTTGACCTCTTTCAGGTGGCCCCATGGGGGTCTAGTTGGGCCGGTTGACCGTTGACAACTTGCAGAATTCTATAAATCACTGAGCAGCCGTCGCTCAGGCAGCAGACGTGGAAAAGAAGGTCTTCCCCTGCCTTGGATGCTCAATCACGTCTAGCTTTGCACACCGTGTTCCTTGAGAGGGTGGCGGTGAAGATGGGGCCTAACCACATCTTGCTCTGATTCAGGCAGAAGATTACCTTGAAGTAATCCTATACAGCTCATAGTCGCCTGTCCCGTTTGCATTCCTGAAGGAGAAAAATATCAAATATAACTTTTTCTTAATAGAAAATATCTCCTAATATGGGGGGAGATCTCAAAATGGGGATGATGAGATCTCTTCAGATGGACTCCCAAGTCCCATCATCTCTTGGTCATACTGACTGTGGCTGATGAGAATTAGAGCCATAGGGTCTACTCAAAGAAACAAGGTGGGGGGAGATTGGTAAGATACTACGGTATTTCACCTATTTTTTAGTCTGTTTCAGCAAAGGCTTTCTTTTTTCAAAATAAACTGAAAAGTTGCAATGCCACACTTGCAGTTGTGTATTTATTTATTGTCACCATCATTTCCTTTTGCAAATATTTAAGAGATTTATGGTATTTATCATCTTTACACTCCTTAAATATTTGCTAAGGGAAATTCTTCCCATCCATAATGCTTCCCTTTTTGATATAATCTATATAAACAACAAAGACCATGCAGTCTTTGGTCATTTGGTCATTTAGGTCATTCTTAACAATAACAAGAGGGAAATTTCAGGCAAGCTCCTACCCATTAATCCAGAAGTACTGGAAAATACCCTTGGGTACTGTACTGCACAATATAATTTCAGCAGTTTTACCAAAGAATCATGATTTTTTTTTAAAAAGTTGATTTCTGCA